GTCTACGCCGATTGCATGTGAATGAAGAGACGTTGTTATCACGAATTCAAAGCCAATAAATATATGGAGAGAAACACAAAGAAAATAAATAAACAAAGACAGGAAAGGATGTAGACAACGGGCAACAGCAAACGAGAAAACAGGGTTATACATAAATAAAACAAAAAAGAAAAATAAAATAAATAAATAGAAAGGAAGAGTGAAGCAAAAACGGACGAAAAAGAAAACTGAAGGACATTTGAAAGATGCTATATGGACCGAACTAAACAACCCTTCTTTTTCTTCTTCTTCTTCACAGAACGGAATGAGCACTACTGGAGAGAACTACTTCACAAGCCTGCATCTGCTTCTACTTAGCTTTGTTTATTTTCTTTTTCCTTTATAGGATTTTATTTTATGAAATTTTATTAGCTTTTTTGTTAATTCCAAGCACGCATTCAACCAACTTAACGACTGCAAGCTTCTATTTCAGTGCGTACAAAGTACGAACAAATATTATAACGAATTATATAGGCCTATGTACAGGACATATATACATACATACACGTATATAGGTACACAGAGAATTGGGTTTTTGGACTTTATCCATCGTCCTGGTTTTAAGATAACTAAGAAAAACACGACGTTTCGGAAACTGGATCTGTTTCCATCCTCAGGTGAGGGAAAACACCTATTCTGTTGGGTCCCTTAGAAAAAGCTAGCCTCAATCACTGGACCCAGTCCTCACCTGAAGATGGAAACAGATCCAGATTCCGAAACGTCGTGTTTTTCTTAGTTATCTTAAAATCAGGACGGTGGATAAAGTCCGAAAACCCAGTATCTCTGTGTGTTATACACCATCATCAGAATCCTATAGTAACGTATATAGGTAGTTTCTTTCATCTGCTGCGCATACGGGCCAGCTTGTGAAAAGTCGAATGTGGTAACTCTGTCGCTGCATCGCATGTTTGGACCTTGAGGTTAAACATGAGCATGATATTACCGGAAAAGTTATTTCATAAAAATTCGCTGTATATATATACACACACACACACAAGGGCGTAGTTGGTTGAGGCACTACGCGACAAGCCGGAAGGTCGCAGGTTCGATTTCAGACGAGATTAATGCATTTTTAATTGACCTAATAATTCCAGCCGCACTATGGTCCTGGGGTTGACTCAGTCTCTAATAGAAATGAGTACCAGGAATCTTCCTGGGGGTAAGGGGAGGCCGACGCATAAATCTGACCTCATCGACATCTGTGTGCAGATTGTTTACAAGATGTGAGACCCATGAGTGCTACATGCCCTGCCCATGGTATCTTTCTTGATTTGATTATTTTAATTATACTTCGCGAAGAGTACGTGTTATGAACTTCCTCAATTTGTATTTTCTCCAGTCTTTTATCGAGTCATCCCTCATCGGTCCTCAGCGCCCTGTTCTCAAACACCCTCAGTCGATATTCCTCCCTTAAATTCCACACCAATAAAAAAAATCCGTGGCCTGTAGCTCGCAAGGGAACTATACCGACCGAGCGACCGCCGCTTGTCGGCGAAGTTAGTGCTAACTTTAGCGGATAGAGGGTGACGCGTGGTCAGCGCAACGGATCCCCACGGTCGTTAATCTCGGTTTTCTAAACCGGAGCCGCTATTTCCTTGAAATAGCTCCTCATTTATCATCACGAGGCTGAGTGGACCCCGTTCCAGATCCACTACTTCTCAGAAAAAATCTGGTAGCGCCGGGAATCGAACCAGGACCTCTGGATCTGTAGCCAGGAACTCTGACCACTATACTACAGGACAAATTTCACTATTCTGATTCAATTTTTATTTGTTATTGACGTTACCAAATATTTGAACTATGTCACCTTTTCGAAGAATCTATTAAGTATTTTTATTTTATGATTTTGCCCTGCATTCTGGTGGCGAGGTATCAGCATTTACTCAGTTCTCTCTGCGTTTACTTCTAGACCATCCTTCTTACTAGCATCATTTAGAGTTTCTAGGCTTCTCCTTACAGTGTCTACGTCATCTTTCAATATATTTACTTCAGCACAGAACAGCCATTGATGAGTCCCAGCATTAGCTGTCTGAAATCTGAAGTGCTCAGGGCGGTGATTATTAATGTAATTTTTATGGGATATGACGCTTGTACTTTGAGAAGTATTTACCGACCTTTCGGAGTAACGCGTATATCCTTCTTCAGGGTAGAAATGTTTTCATAGACTATAGCTATTTATAAGTCCACCATATAGAATAAAGCATCCGAGGAGTGTAGGTATTGAAATTTACTTGCGCCCCTCCTTGGTTTAAAGTGAAACCGACATTACTCCTGTTAAACCTCGTAAATGCTGCAGCACGTTGTTTACCATTTCTACGATTATGGCCAGTTTTATTTCCTGGTCCTCATTAGAGAGCTTCTCTACTTTCAAGATGCTGTGACTTTTATGTATTCTTTTCGGCAAAGTTACTTCTCTCTGTCGTATAGAAAACCGGTCTGCATGACCGTGAAATAGCATCGTTATGAGTGCGCCGTGGTTCCGCAACGCAAAACACGACCATAATCACGGCCAAGGTGGCCAGGATTGCACTGGCAGAAGGTAATTTGAAGATTTAATTTGTACATGAATTATTAATTACAAACATACCACAGAATCCTATACATGTATGTATATTCCAATGACATGACATGACATGACGTATCTGGCAGCATGCTTGACTTCTTACCATTGTTTTTAATTCCGCAAAACTCACAAATTCAGAAAAGAGGACAACTTATTTAAAAAATGGTACTTCAGTTGCGGCATCTTGTGAACACGATTGGTTCTTTTTTATGTTAACACGGTGAATTATTTTCAATATTATGTTGGTAGCGTAGTTGGTTGAGGCACTCTGCTACAAGCCGGAAAGTCGCGGTTTCGCGTCCCGATGAGGTGTTTTTTTTTTTTCAATTTACCTAATCCTTCCAGGCACACTATGGCCCTGGGGTCGACTCAGCCTCTAACAGAAATGAGTTATCAGGACTATTCCTTGGGTTAAAGCCGGCGAGTAAAGCTGGCAAGCTCACCGCCATCTGTGAGCCTGTTATCTAGAAAATGTGGGAGCCTCGACATCTCACAACACTATGGGCCTTCACGGTCTGTTACAGGGATTCAGTTATTCAGTTATTCAGTATAGAGGGGGTGGGTTTCCCCATGCACCGCGACTAATAGTCTATTGTATGTCCCCCTTTAATTTCTACTGTCGCCATACCCTACCGATACTGGTGCCCGCTATCTCCCCTTTTCTGCCAGCGAGGGCGGCCCTCTACTGGCAGTGGTACCCGATAACTCTCCCCTTTCTGTCAGGGAGGTCGGCCCTCTACTGGCATTGGTACCCGATAACTTCCCCATCCACCGGAGGAACTGGAAACTACTTGGGCGGGAAACATTTTGCCTAATTTTGCTCAGAGGTCTCCTAGAGACATGAGGATCTTTTACGTGCCATAAATCTACGACACGGGACCCACGGCTTAAAGTCCCTCCCGGAGGACTTGTTCCCCGAATTTTTCCGCCCTTAAAAATTCCACGACCTCCGCCGGGTTTGAACCCGCGTGGGAACATTACCCCTAGACTACGGAGGCCGCTCTGTTACAAGGATAGTTTTACACTTATTATTTTCAGTTTAATTAAATTCATTTTCTGCCATTCTTCTGATGCCTTTACTTTTCTAAGAAACAAGATGCCTTGCTACATCACATTTTAGTTTTGCTTCAGAATATGCCACTAGGAATATTGTCTCAGCCAAGAGAAACTCGAATTGAATGGAACTCATAACATTTTAATATTTGCTGTTGTTAATTTATGGGGTGAAAATACGATATAATGATACAGAACAAAACGAAAAACGCAGAGTTGTATTACCCGCTAGTGAATAGATTGCAGGAGAAGATCATGTTATAAAAACACATAATAAGTCCTTCGAAACTGTGACGAAGATAAAGTATTTGGGAACGACATTAATAAATCAAAATTGCAATCACGAAGAAATTAAAAGTTAATTAAATCCTTCGGACGGATATTCCCACTCTGTTCAGAATACTCTACCATCCCGCCTAGTTCCCCATAATTTTAAAGACTGAAATATATAAATTTGTTATATTATGTTACTTCTTATGGGGGTTTCTCATATACGCGGTCTCTCAGACTAAGGGAAAATCACAGAGAAGAGGGAGCTTACGAGAATATTTGTACCTAAGAGGGAGAAAGTATTAGAGTGATGGAGAAAATCGCATAATGAAAAAATTCATAATTTGTTGTCTTCATGAAATAAAAAATTATTAAAAATAATATGTAACACGTACGGAAGAGATATGAAAGTCACAGATAATTTGGGTCAGGAACTTGAAGGAAAGAGAGCACTGGAAGACAGAGGAGTACATGAAGAAATAATATTAAAATGGATTTTAAAGATGAAGACTGGAAGGATGTGGACTACATTCATGTGGATGGCGGTAAGGGTAGGAGGTGGGCTCTTGTGAGCACGGGAATGAAATTTCTGGTTCTACAATAGCGGAAATTTCCCAGCTGGCTGAAAGATTATTGCTTTTCAAGAAGGGCTTTGCTTCCTATACCAATTTTGTTTACCGCTATGGTTTAAGACATGTCTAGTAACATTCTTCATAGCAGGCATTAGATTCGACCACTGAACGTTCAGATTCTGGGCGTGAATTAGTAAAGATTTTGCGGTCATGTTCTTTACGAGACGCTAATCAGTTTCGTGTGCCTGAAAGAGATCCCCGCAGCTCGACGCGGCGAAGCATGCAGATGAAACAAAAGACTCTAAGGGCATGTCGATTTTGCTTGGCTGGTGGGAGAGTGGTGTCAATGCCATGCCAGAACATGTGTCCGTCCTGGATGGCTTCCATCCTTTCGATTCTCTATTATTGCCTGCCTTACCTCTCCTTCAGAAACCCCACCATCAAACACAACATTTCTCCATCAACTGCTTCATCTTCTTGCGGGTATGTGTTGCTGAAGCTGAAGAATTCAGGCCATTGTGATGAAGCCTGGCGAGTTTATAAGCGGAGCTCCAACCGGTGAATCTCAGCATTCTATCAGTTACTACAACGCTAGCAACATGAAGCGGCAGGTGAGTGAACTCCAACTCACAATCCGCCATCTTCACCGGTCATTAGTGTGAAGATTGGCGATGACGTTTTGTAAAAAGAATTATCACATTCTTTCAGTTTTACACATAACGGTGGCATGACTTGTGATTTTTAGTCCAAGGTACGTTCTTTTAAATTAAGTGTAAGCTAGTAATACAAAATTTTCGGTTTGTTAAAGTGGAATTTTGAGTGGAGAGAAATATTTTTGTGGGATTTAAGACTCTCGCGGTGACGACTATGAGTATAATTGTTTTGTGGCATGTGACACTGCGTAGTTTGGTAGATGTTCACCGATATTTCAGAGGAAAGTCGATAAAGAACTACCACTCTATAAGGCGTTTCATCTCACAAAATACTTATCTTCGGTATTGATTTTGGTATTTTATTTAAAATTTCGAGATGCTGAGTATCGTGGAATGCACACCACTAATTTTCCAATCTGGTCCAATAAATACTCAGACAGATGAGTTAGTTATTATTAATATTATGCTTTTAAAAGCATTCATTTCACTGAAACCGTATGAATTTTTAGTATTAAATTACTAAAATGACTAGTGCCAATTTTTAAACACATAAGCTGCAACAAATTAAATAAAACAAATTGATTATTCTTGAAATATTTATTTAGGAAAAGTTAACAATTCGTGCTTCAAGATTACGATTTTAACAAATTCTTCAATTTTATAAAATGTAACATTCCGATAGGGAAGTGTCAATTTCATTTGCATAGTCTTATGCAACATTAATATAGTCTGACGTGTGAGGTCTATTCCCTTATTTCAATGGCGCTCGAAAATATATTCTTGTTGCCTTTATTTACAAATTCCCTAAAATATAGTCAACGAAATTAAAATTAAATAACGATTTACAATAAGAGAACCAACACATTTAGTTAGAATATTAAATCCTGCGTCATTTTTCATAAAATTGCTATTAGGCACAGGTCTACAAAATGTTTCTCTGTAAGACGGTAACAGATCAGTCACTCAGTCGATCATGAAGCTCTCAGACACAAAAGGTACGCTCAGCGATAACGATCTAAGTTGTATTCATATGTGATCCATTCGCATCTCGGCTGGGGCATTGGCTACACTGACTGACGTCTTTCGTGGTTTTCCTTAGCGCCTCCAGGCAAATACCTGAATAGTAAATCGACAAACTCACAACAGAGTCTACTCAAATTCTTTCCAGCACATCTATAATCCTACCGTTCGGGGCTGCATATTCTAGCTGACAGCGCCATAAAGGAAGCTACAAAAAACAATTCTATATCGTTTTATGTCATCCAAAAATTCAGTATCTTATTTCATAAGAGCCTGCCATTTGTCCATATCCTAAGTCAGATAAATCCAGCCCACATTGTATCACCCTATTTTATATTAATTTTAATAATATCCTCGCATAAACGCTTGGCCTCTAATTAACCCATTCCCTGAGAATGCTTCAATAGAACTATACATTTATAAACTCTATCATATGTGCTACCTACTCCGACTAACTTTTAATAATTTATTCACCCTAAGAATATTTCGTGAATTATACATAATATGAAGACTCTTATGATATTTTCTTTATGCTGGTGACACACCCTCCTGTCTTTGATGCAATATTCTCCTCAGTATCCCGTTCCAAGACACCGTCGTCTATTTTCTTCCTTCGGGACAATATCTAGAATTTAAAACCCATGAAATACAACTTGTACCAGATTCTATGCCTGGCAATTTTCATGTAGTGAGAAGTCTCGCTAGTTAATACTGTTGAAATAATGATATTTCTGAATTACATAATTACCAATTTAACATTTTTGTGAGGTTCTATTTAGATCATAGCAGGCGCCATAATTTATCTTAATATCAGGAGCTAATGGATTTTACTTGTGTATCACATATGCCGTGCATTTTCTTGCAGATAGGAACAGAACTTTCCAACGTTATATATACGACCTGCCCGATGGCTTTACACACTTGCCTCAAGTTACGAAAGTAATGGAGATTTTCAAAATACATAACCGGAAAATATTTTAATCTAAAATTAAAACTCCATATCCTTCTAATTTGCTCAGGATTGGGACCGATGGAGGGCTATTGTAACGAACCTTCGGGTTCCATAAAATGCTGGAAAGTTCTTGAGTAGGTGCACAATTGGCAGCTTCTCAAGGAGGACTCGGCTCCATGTGTGAGTGACCTTTCTAATTTACGCTGAAGAAGTGACATAATTCTGAAAAATGCAATTTTAAAATCCTTAAAAAAAGAATCCTTCAGTTCCTGAAAGGGTGATGTTGTATTCAAATGGGAGAATAAAGGGACACGTTCGGAAACCCCAGAAAATTAATATATTTTCTTGAAACGGGAATTCCGTTATCTTCCAAACCATCTCACAATCACGGGAAAAAATTCGTGCTCCGAAAACAAATTTCATGGTTGTGAGGTATGAGGTTTCCACGACCGTAAATAAGAAGATTGCTGTCTTCTGGTATGTGCCACCATGTAGTCTGGTCGAAGTTTCGGAGGACCTTGCTGCCGACATCTTCGATGTAGATGGAAGCAACTCATTTCACCGATACGTTGGTAAACATGTATCACAAACCAGAAGACAGTGTTCTTCACATCGGCTTCCATCTATCTTATCCGTCAGACGGTTTCGCAGTGTCAGACTCACATGCGAATCATCAAAATGTTGTCCGCCTTGCATACAGATTTCATGTGTCCCAGTAACAACCTCACTGGCACCGTTGCATTCGGGATTGAAGATGTCCATTGCGTTAGATGCGGTTTGTGTAAACAAATGTCACGCTGTCTTGCGATAACCGTCGAACGACTGTCAACTGTAATTGCGCTTGTAATGCACTGCGCTTTCTCTCTTAAACTATCTGTCATGTTAAACAATACGCCATGTTAGGTGAATCCTTTGTCACCACGGCATGGCGTGTCCTCAGGTTGCGGATGGAGGAGACGGCCTCCAGACATGGAGCGTAGATCCGAATATACTGAATAAGCAGTAGTGGACAGCCGGCCACGGAGGTCCTTCTCCTTGGGGGTTGAGCGTGGGGTCATCAACTTCTCCGTGGTCGGTAATTCGCTTCGAGCGACCGCCGCTTGTAGGCGAAGTTAGCGACCACCACTGTGGTCTAGTGGTCAGAGTTCCTGGCAACAGATCCAGAGGCCCCTGGTTCGATTCCCTGCGCTACCAGATTTTCTGAGAAGTAGTGGGTCTGGAACGGGTTCCACTCAGCCTCGTGAGGATAACTGAGGAGCTATTTCAAGGAAATAGCCGCCCCGGTCTAGAAAACCGAGATTAACGGCAGTGTGGATCCGTTGCGCTGACAATGCGACACCCTCTATCAGCTAAAGTTGGCACTAACAACTTCCTTTCCTATAAAAATAAGCTTGTTACGAAATGTCACAAAGGGCCTCGGACCTGGAAGGATTCTTTGGATAAACGTACAGTTAAGAAGGCCACGTTGTAGGCGGGTGGATAATATTAAAATTGATCTTAGAGAGGTAGGATGAGGTGGTATAGACTGAATCGATCTGGTTCATAATAATGACCAGTGAAGGGCTCTTCTATAAATTGCTGGGAATTTCTTAAGTAACTACACAAGTGTCGGTTTCTCAAGGACTCAGCTCCATGAAGTTAGTAAAACAACACGAGAGAGGGCTCTCCGACTTCTATAAGCAATACAATTCTAACCCCAAGGCGCAGCTCCTTCCTTACAAAATTGATAGTTGCTCATTTAGTCTGAAATTCCCTGAATTTATTGAAAATGGAGGTTAATTATTGTATTTACAAGAGCTTTTCCAGAGACCCTATCCTGAGTCAGCTTAATCCAGTCCGCACCCTCACACCGTATTTCTCTTACTAACTCCATGGAGCTGAGCCCTTCTTGAGAAGCTGCCAGTTGTGCAGCTATTCAAGAATTTCTCAACATTTTATGGAACCTGAAGGCTTATTACCGTGTTCACAAGAGCTCTCCACTGTTCTCTATTCTGAGCCAGATCAATCCATTCCATACCATCCCACATCCTCTCTAAGATCCGTTTTAATATTTTCCACCCACCTACGTCTTGGTCTTCCCAGTGGTCTCTTTCCTTCTGGCTTTCCCACCAATATCCTATATGAATCCTTCTTCTCCAACATTCGTGCTACATGTCCTGCCCATCTCATCCTCCTTCACTTGATCATTCTAATTATACTTGGCGAAGACTGCAAGTCATGAAGCTGCTCATTATGCAGTTCTCTCCAACCTCCTAACACTTCATCCCTCTTCGGTCCAAATATTCTCCTCAGCACCCTGTTCCAAAGAATCCGTCGAAGTCCGAGGTCCTTTGTGATGTTTCGTAACAAGCTTATTTCTCTAACACCAAGTTTAATACCGTTCTCCCACCGTAGCGTACGTTCTTTCCTGGGGGCGAAAGCCACAGTTTATATCCAATAAAATACAATAGAAACCGGATCCTCTGCCTCAGAATTTTCATGCAGTGAGAAGTCATACTAGTCGGCATCACAAAAAATAAAACGCGTTTCTGAATTATATAATTACTAATTCAAAATTCATGAGAGGTTATGAGTAAAGTTCGAAATGTTTAAATTACAGTCACACATGGTCAAAAATTCATCACAGAATTTCTTATCTTAACACCATGAACCAATTGATTTTTATGCCACATGTGCAGTGTATTTTCTCGTAGACAGAAACATAACTTTTGAACATTATTTGTACGATCTATCCAATGATTTTACACACCTGCTTCAAGCCACGAAATTAAGGCAGACTTTCAAAATATGTAACTCGGAAGACGAATCAAACTTTTCTCTTTCTTCTTCAAATACTCGTATTTTACTCTAAAATTAAAACTCAGTACCTTTCCAATTTACTCTAAAAAATCTGCAATTCGAAAATCGATTTTCTGCTAAATACTTTTTAAAAGTCCTCCCATATAGGATTAGGTCCATATAATGTACATAAATTAATGAACAACAAGCAAACAATCACGTTCCCACTGCAATAGTTGAACTACAACAATTAGGAACGGCGTTTTCTGTGGGGTAAGTTGCGAGATGGTATAAGCGGGACAAGCTTGGAACTGCAGTTAATGCAGTGCAGGGAAGTGAAGAGTTGATTGTGAGTAAGAGAACTGCAGTTCATTCGCTGTGAGAAGCTGATAGCTGAGGCACGGGGATAGTTCGGAAACCCTGACTGAGAGGATGCTGTTACCAAGCAAAGAGTAGTTGAAGACACAGAAGACCGGGAAAACTTAGAATGTGCTGAAGTTATTTGTAGAGTGCAGAACAGTGAAAGTGCTGTAACTATCTGTAGTTCCGAATGTCGAGCTACCAGTTAATTCAGTTACCGATCCAAATACTGTGTCTAGTCACCAACATGAGACAGTTGGTGTCAGAAGTCCTTGTGAGGAAGTAGGGGAGAACTGATCTATTGAATTTAAAGGATAAAAAATTTGCAAAAAAAAAAACTACAGACACGAATAACAACAACCACAATCACCATCGCATTATGTGTATTTTCTGTGAGAATTCTAAAAATAAAAAAGCATTATCATCCCCAGTCCTATCATCCGAACCAATTCCAGCACCCAAACCAATTACAGACTACGAAAAAAATCCTAGTCGGAACCCTCACCTAAGCAAATGAAATGGAATCCGCGCCGTCCTGAGAATTTGAACCAAGGAGCTTACCAGCAGACGACGGTTGTTCGTCCCCTGAATTCCAGCCTCAGTTATATCCTTATTTTGTTGATGCTGCATTATCTCATACATGACAAACATCGATGGGGGAAGGAGAGACAAAACAGGATCTGTTACAGCTCAGGATGTTGTTACAGGAGGAAGGTGGGCTCGTGCCAGAGTTGAAAACTACACTGGCCTTGGTGAAAGACGCGGAAGACAATCACTTTGCTCAATTCCAGAGAGATTATTTCAAGGAAACAGCTGATGAAGGCGAAAGACAAAAGTTATGCCTAATTCCAGAATGAGATGGACTTACTGAAGATGCCGATAAAGATTCAGCATGAGCGGCATGACCAATTGCTGAATGCAATGGATTCAGAGAAGAACACGATGAAGATGGAAAACAAATGCCATGGATGAGATGGATTCAATGAAGACGAATATGGAGAGAACATCTTCGATGTCTATGAAACAGACGGTACGCATCTAGCATCCAAGGAGCGCCCCCGTCGGAATGAGGGAACCCAGGAAAACCTGCCCTGTCGCTTCCACGTCTACAGTCATGAAGAGTTCCGATCAGCAAGGTCTGGGTGGGTCTGGTGCCGCTCCCAAATGTCAAGGCAGTAAGAGCCAAGTTAGGTACTCGAAGCAACATGAGGCACAACCCTGGTGGGGGCTATGTGAAGATATTTACGTAGAACCACAAGCTCGATTTGAGCAACGCGCAGGCCAAGATCAACACATGAAAGAAGACATTGCTTATGGCGGTGCCCACAAGAAGACTGAGAATACTAGTGCGTAACAGTGAACTGTAAAGTGCAGTCAAAAGTCGTGTGTTAAACATATGCAATAAATCGAATCACCAATCAAAACCCCGTCCACAGTCACTCCAACACGTGACAATATTATTACTTATCAACAGACATTCCTGTTAGGCCTACTATTAATTCCGATCTTGGGTATTACGTCCTGTGAACGCTTCGGTGGTACATGCTGCTTTCATCTTCAGGACAAAGTACATAACGTGGGCGAGTTTCTGTGTACACATAAGATCCTGTTAAGAAAAACAACTATGGGGGGGGGCAAGGAGGAAGAGTGGAGATTAGTGCCTCACGTGACTCTCCACCGCTGTCATTTTATGATATAGGATCCGGTTTCCATACACAAACTCATCCATCTTACACGCTTCGACTCTCAAGATGCAGGTAGCAAGTACCTCCGAAACGTCGTCAACATAGCTCACATCAACACTTGAGACAAGCCAAAAAATGAAATTAACGTCAACAATTAACAACTGAGAATACCTAAAATCAGTAATTCGTATTACTGATATCACATTATTTACTGAAGTATATCTGTTCTAATCGAATTAACCCTGTCTTACAATCCATTTTGGCCAAAGTAACGTCAGTTATTGTTAATTTTTTTTCCCCCTTGGCACTCAAGCCCCAGTGGGCCTAGGCCTACTTCCATGAACTTCTCCGTTCACTTCGGTTTTTCTCGATCTTACACATTCGGTAGGACTCCTTGGGCGGGTGATCAGCTCGTCGCAAGGCCTCTACCTGTATACAAACACAGAAAAACGCACACACACAAACTAAACATCCATGCCCTGAGTGGGATTCGAACCCACGATCCCGGTTTTCCAAGCGAGCGAAGACAGTACATGCCTTACACCGTTCGGCTACCGTGACCGGCCATGGTTAATTTAACTCCGGATATAAGTGGCACAAACGTTAGTTTGGCTTATTTTATTCACATTCAAATGTTCTGCATATCAAATTAATTTTCCTTGGTTAAATTTACAAATTGGCAATTATCACCCCACAAGTTGCCATTACTAAATAAAATTACGAATTTAGTTCAGTATCTCTCTAGGAATTCTTTCATTCACATAATCGTTTTTACGAAGTTTAGAAAAATGAGTCCGGATCCATCTGACATACATGTCGTTCAGTTCACCATCTATTCTGAAACAAATTAGCCACTTACAGAATTATTTTAACAAAGTTCCGCCACACAGTTGCTGATGATTCTCATGGCGATAGCTATGAAGGATATTATCTCCTGGCACGTAGTCTGGTAGAGGATCACTGACGTTTCGAAGGAACGTCAATAAACTTCTACCAGGTTGCATGGCGTCAGAGCCCAGACACCAGCGTTCAGTTACGGATCCAATTTCACAAAATGGCGAACAAAATTTGCGATTAAGACAACCTGTGCCTTTGACTGGATATGAATACTCGTAAACTAAAGACATTTGATGATTACGCCTCCCACAGCAGTAGCAAATCAGTAATAGTTTAGCGATACCATAAACTTTCTCGGGATTTCATAAGGCGCTGCATGTTATTGACCCTGCGCTACGTGGTGTGCGCATTGCGTAATCCGCCTGTGTTGCAGAGTTCCACAACAAAGAGCCTGGTTCTGACGGTGACCTTGACAGTCCTGCTGTTGCTGCTGCCAGTGGCACCAAGCCAGGCCGCGCCCCACCACCAACACCCACAGCAACAGCTTCTCTACTATAACCATGTGGTACCCGCACCGCAAAGGCAGTCAACTAACGTGGTTGTCGTTCCAAGGAATGGAGCTGGGTACGTTCATGGGCACCGTCCTTCCTGGTTTGAGTGAGAAAAATGGATTTGCATTTCTTCGTCTGAACTAGATTCTAATTTGTAGCTCAGCCAGTATAGCGACTGGCTACGGACTGGACGCCCGAGGAGTCGGAGTTCGAGTCATGGTAGGTGTAAGATTTTTCTCCTCCCCACGTCCTCCAGACCGGTTGTGGAGTCCACACAGCCTCCTATCCAATGGGTAAAGGGCGCTCATTCCGGGGGGGTAAAGCGGGAAGGGAGTGAAGCTGACCACTCATCTCCGTCCAATTCCGAGGTTAAGAATACGTGTATCTACGTATATCCACTCGCCCATACGTCTTCGTGGTGTAGTGCTCGATTAGTTAAGCACAGGGACAGCTTTTACGTTTTACCGTAGCTAAATTTATTTGCCGAGACAGCGAAGTCAGTAAAACTCCTGAATAGGGGCCTGACGGCTGATAATGTATTTTTAGCAGAGGAAGAGAGATTTTTTCGACGTCATTTTTGTCAGAACCATCTCTGAGTCCTTAGAGCCTCCTATCCAGTGGATACCAAGGGCTCTTCCTCGGCATGCATTTATTCATAATTTGAAGAAAGCAGTCTTCTGGGATTTGGCACCGTGTATATGTGGTGTTAACCGACGTTTCGGAGGAACGTATCGCCTCCATCTTCAGGGTAGAAGAAAAAATATATAAGAAATCTGCAAGCAGAGATTGCAGATTGCAAGCTTGCAGATTTCTTATATATTTTTTCTTCTACCCTGAAGATGGAGGCGATACGTTCCTCCGAAACGTCGGTTAACACCACATATACACGGTGCCAAATCCCAGAAGACTGCTTTCTTCATAGTCACCGCCGTGAAAGCCTCAAATCTTACATATTCATAATTTATTTCCTACAACTGTGATTTTTACCCTAAAAAGATATTTTGCAGAACTTTATAATTCAGACAAGCCACTGTTGTTTCATACAGACTTTTTAGATGTGCTTGTAAGTTGTTGCATAAATTTTACATCTTCTTTAAAGTGAAATCAAAATGTTGCGCGGGATCACCGTATGATATTTTATTGAGGTTTTAGAACTGATCGAATTACAGTTTAATTATTTTCAGAGATACACGTATATAAATCGTAAAAAGGTAAAGCTATCCCTGGAACAGGCCGTGGAGGCCCAAATGGTTGTGAGACGTCGAGGTTTCCGCATTTTCCCTAGACAATCGGCTCATAGATGGCGGTAAGGTTGTCAGCCTTACGCACCGGCTGCCCTTTACACTCAGGAAGATTCCTGGCATTCATTTCTGTTACAGGCTGAGTCGACTCCAGGGCCCCAGTGTGACTGGAAGGATTAAGTCTATTGGAAAAAATGCAATGACCTCATCGGGAATCAAATCCGTGACCTTCCGGCTTGTAGCATAATGCCTCACACAATTACGCTATCGTGTGTCCCATATTAAATATGTAGATTATTTACGTTGAGAACGGACTCAGTACTTGTTTTCATTTCGGAAACAGCTAATTCTAATCGAGTTTATTTTCTTGGAGTGGGGTGAGACTACTCGGTAAGTCGGCCACTAACTGGACTATTGTACCAACCACGGACGATAGATTAGTGTGGAGCAGTTGGTGGAATGAGAATTGGCAGGGGAAACCGAAGTACTCGGAGAAAACCTGCCCCAGTTACACTTTGTCCACCACAAATCGCACATGATCTGACTCGGGCTAGAACCCAGGCCGCCGAGGTGCGAAGCCGGCGACTAACCGCCTGAGCTATGGGACGGTGTACTGTCTATAACATTTATTTGATGAAAGAACGACAGACATCCACAGGAATTGAACGTATAACTACGCATTCCTTGCCTCGGTAAGAGATGGAAGTGAGTGGTCAGGTACATGCCCCTCTTCCTTTATCCCGGGGAAGAGCCTCTGGTACTCACTAAACTGGAGGACAGGAGGGCCTCAGAACAGGTCTGGACGCTGTGGACAAGAGCAGGTCTCTCTCCTCTATCGGTAAACGAGCCCCAGTTCCTCGATCATACAGCCCGCTTCCTACTGCCTATACTGACTTTGCTATTCCGACTCCCTAAAGGTTCGGCCACACAGAGCGCTACGTACGCTATGTTCGCTATACGAACAGAAAAATATATCCCTTTATTGTCAATGTGACTGGCCACACAGAGCGCTACGCTAGTTCGCTATGTACGCTACGTACGCTATGTTCCTTATGTTAGCTGCGTAGCAGAGTGTACACAGCGTACGTAGCGTACATAGCGAACTAGCGTAGCGCTCTGTGTCGCTGAACCTTAATTGATTCAAACATTGCCGTACTTGATCTGTAGTTCTGTACAGAGACGGGCTCTGAATGAAACGGTCTCTAAGTTTCTGTGCAGTATCGGATTTGCAATGCCCGAGGCGGGCAGAAAGCTTGAAGATAGTGCAATGAAATGAAATGGATTTTGCAGCATTCAGCAGTTCGCAGCGGCTGGCGTCCCGCTACCAGTGGGCGGACAGTACCTACTGGTGCAGCCTGGTGCCAACCCGGTGCTCTATGTAACACGCACTGATAGTGATAACAAGCCTGACGGCGGAGACGAAGGCGGAAGTGGCGGTTCAATTCTTGAGTTCATCAACAACCACTTGACGAATTTCCCTAGCTTTCCATCAATCTCGAACTTTCCATTTATTCCGGGGACCGGCGTCTCAGCTGAGGTTAATTCAACTGGTGAGGAACCAACCGAAAAACCCAGCACAGACAAAGGAGAAAAGGTGAGAGCTCCCAAGTGCATCGGATACACAGAATCATATTGTATAAAAAAAGGTAAAGGTACCCCTGTAACAGGCCGTGAAGGCCCATAGGTTTGAGAGACGTCGAGGCTACCACATTTTCTAGAAAATCGGCTCACAGATTGAGGGTGAGGTTGTCAGCCTTATGCGCCGAACTCCCTTTACCCACAGGAAGATTCTTGGTACTCATTTCAGTTAGAGGCTGAAACGACCCCAGGGCCATAGTGCGGCTGGAAGGATTAGGTCAACTGAAAAAAAAGACCTCATCGGGAATCGAACCCGTAACCTTCCGGCTTGTAGCACATTGCGTGAACCAAGTACGTCACCAAGGGCCCCCTGCCCCCCCATCATATTTTCTTTAAATTACACACTCAGAATTTGTGTTGCACGCAAACCGCCACTTACACGGCTACCGTTAGGAAGATAAGAGTTCGTCGAACTACAAAAAAAAAAAATACTCGCCCAGGGTGAGATCCCTTTTTGGTTTCGAAAGATTGTGCGGTGTAATTTTAATCCTTTAAATACTGCGTCTTCTTCAAGAATTGTGTTATTATAAACCAATTAGGAGTTCAGCGTAGTATGAAGTGGCCTGTATTTTACTCACGAAGAACTTATGTGGAAATTTTAAATTGTTTACTAGGTATATTTCCCATTTACTACAGAAAGAAAAATGGACTTGAAGTGAGTTTATTTCCCTATATATCAAAGTCAAGAAAAATTAACGTGGAAAATATAAGCCCCCAAATAACTATGAGACGAATGGGATGAGCGCCATCATTCGCAAACATCCACAGCAACAGGAAATTTTTTAATTAGTTTAACAACAAGACACCGCAGGAAGTGTTTCTTTTCACTGTCACGCAAACATTCAAAACATCTCGAGAGAACAAAGCATCCATCTCGTTCTCGCTCATAGCTTGGTCTAAATGTAGTCTATCACGTAAATATTTGACTGGCCCTTTACTACTACTACTACAATTATTGCTGTTAGTGGCAGCAGTACCATCCGTGTTAGCAGTCCGAGCAGTAATAGTTTCACTGTTACACTCGTATTTTAACTTCACTCACTCATGGAACTGAGCCCTTCTTGAGAAGCCGCCAATTGTGCAGATACTCAAGAAATTCCCAGCATTTTATGGAACCCGAAGGTTCATTATCATCTTCACAACAGCCCTCCAGCGGTCCCTATCCTGGGATCAATCCAGTCCATACAATCCCATCCTATCTCGCTGAGATCCATTTTAATATTGTCCACCTACGTATGTCTTGGTCTTCCCAGTGGTCTCATTCCTTCGGCTTACGAACCAATATCCTAAATGCATTTCTCCGCTCCTCCATTCGTGCTACATGCCCTGCACATCTCATCCTCCTTGGCTTAAATTTCCAAAATTCAAGTAATCATAGCAACTGTTAAATCTATTATTATCATTATCGTTAAAAGTGGCATTACAGACAGTAGTAGTAGTAGTAGTAGTACTAGTAGTAGTAGCAGCATCAACAGTAGCAGCCCAATAGTAAAGAGTTTATTATAATACAAACCACCCACCACTGTCTCCAGACGACTGGTAGCGAAACTGCGTGAAGTAATCGTATATTAATTTTTCTACAGCCCATCAAAATAGTGGACGGCCAGGCATCCTCATCTGCCGAGAGCTTGGGGCAACAATCGGCCTCGCTGGAGAAATTCGATGAAGACGCTCCAAACCCCAACTCTCCCTCCCTCCCCCGTCCGTCCCTCGTACCTGTCCCTGGCCAGCGATTTGTCGTCGTCGGCCAACCGCAGTTCTTTGGAAATTTCGATGCCCTCCGTAACCACGCTGTACAACAAGGGCTGGGCACCAACGGCGCAGTTTCCAGTTTCCTCCTCCTGAAGAACCAACAAGTCGTACCCCTAGCTTCTGCAGCCAACGGACAGTTTCAACAGGAGGCTGGAAGTTCAGTGGCTCAGGATCCTGGTGCAAGTGCCCTCGAGTTCCAGAGGTACCTCAGCGTAACAAAGCAGCAACAGCCACAACAAGACGTCGCCAACGTGGGTTCCGCTCCTATTGGATACCAGAACGTTGTTTACGTCGCTAGGCAACCACCTCAACAGATCCCTGTCGCCAGCTTGGCAGAAGATCCAGCATCTATAACAATAGAGGCTATGAAAGCGAAGCCACATGTGAGGAAGGAAAATGAAGAAGGGGCTGACGCAGACACCGAAGACGTTGAGGCGAATCCACCAGGCCCATCAGTGGCCCAAGTGAAGCCTCAGGCGATTGCTCTAGCAGGACCTGGCGGTGTGGCAGCGGCTGCACCAATAGGCACGGCCTTGGTGGGACCCGGAGGGCTGGCTGTGGCGGCACCCTCTGCTACTGCCGTGGCAGGACCCTCAGGGGGAGCACCTCCACCGCCTGGAGCTCATGCTTCAGCGGCTCTTAGTTCTCCCGCCGCATACAAGGCATATCTGTTAGAACAACAAGCAAAGGGGTCCTACCCTGCCGGTTCCTATCACGTGGCATATCATGTCTGACCTCAGCAGGGTTAAGAGTAGGCCATCGCTAAAGTAGGTTAGAGATCACATAGCAGTATTCTCCAACCTCTTACATACACAGCAGTTCGCGTAATGTACGCCACGATGTAATGTCTTCCAGAAAACACAGAGTCAAGCACCAGAGCAGTGGAACCACCACAAGAGGTACCACTGTCAACCATTTCTTTGAATGTAACTTCGGAGGATATTACTTCACTTAATTTCAAGCTTCCCTAACCATCGCAAAATTAAAAATAAAATTTCTTTCTGTTTAAGGCGCTGAAACCTCGAAAACGTACGTGACTTCTGTCAATAAAGTGAATGACTAAGAGCTATACGAGGGGGATTTAACGCCAGATAAACGCAGGAATGTCCAGGCTAGCTTCCTGTTAGTACATGGAGAATGGGGTTAAAATCCAGAATCTCTGGAATATGTAGGATAATATTCTCTCTTTTAGTCCTGTGTGTACTAATATATTTTGGTGATCTCTCAACCATACAGATATTGGAGACTTTTGCCTTTTCGCGATGGACTTCGCTACATTCATGGAAGACTATGATTTAGACTTTATTAGCTGTACTAAACTTTCGAATGTGCAATGTCTAGAGTCTCCAATGGTGTTAAAAAATTAGGGAAGATTTTACAAAATTACATATCTACTTATTGCATCTGTCTCTAAAGAACGAAAAGGATATATTAAAATTTGGTTCTGATAGTCGCCTATGAGCAAGTAAGTGTTTGCTATTTATAATGAAAGTGATCTTTTTTTTTGTATTTTTTGTATTTATTGCAAAGGCTGGGAAAAATGTCAATCCAAACAACACAGATATTTCAATTGTTAACACGTCTTCGTTATTGGAACAATAAAATATTTGTTATTATATATTATGTGCTCTTCACCTCCAAAGCTCTTCTTTCTCATATTCATTTGATATTGAGACCTGTCCGGAAAGTGTAAGAACACAAGAAGCAATGAATACGTGTGCATAAGTTTATAGTTTCCTATAGCCAGTGGAACAATTTCGGTTTAATATACTTTAAGCATTTCAGTACTGAGTTTTATATTATGAACTGTCTATGTATCAAAGATGTAACTAACATATAAGTTTCCCTGGCAATACGACCCAAATATGTAGCTGATCTGTCATAAGACAAGATAAGACAAGGAATTCATATTTTCTCACATACTAACACCGAAGTTACTCAGTCCAGATGACCAGTTATGTATCTCTTTCGGGATATATGCATTATAATTAAACATTAAGTACACCGACGTAAATGGAACACAGTGTTTCCGAATCTTTATCTTAATATCCGGTATAGATTTCTTGTATGTGCAGAACTCACATGTCAGTGCAAGTTGACTTCCCTGGCNTTTTTTTTTTTTTTTTTTTTTTTTTTTTTGCCTTCTGGGTTATGGTACCGTGCAGAATGGTAGGTGAACCAAAGTTTGAAAGGACCGTGCTGCCTCCATCGACAGGGCCACTTCTGGGCTGAAGAAGGAAGTCTATCTATCCACCTAGCAGACTACGAGGTGTCATAACAAAGAAGACCGCAAAATGAATCTCTACATCCGTGAAAACCCCAAATGTTTAAAATTCTTTACACGTTTGTGACTCTTTATACGGAGACAATATTCGGAATGCAAGAAGATGCATATGAACAGAGTACACGAGTAATGATTTTTTTTCAATATCAGGTAGAGGGCAATCAGTAAGAGAAAGAACCGAAATTTGGTGCATATGAACAGATATAAAAATAGAGGAATCTATTTAGGAGAGGTCTAGTACTCCAACATCGGGACTGTCTGCTAAATGAGTTCCTTACGCTTGGCTCGCCTCTGTGGTCTAGTGGTCAGAGTTCCTGGCTACAGATCCAGAGGCCCCGGGTTCGATTCCCGGCGCTGCTAGATTTTATGAGAAGTAGTGGGTCTGGAACGGGGTCCATTCAGCCTCTTGAGGATAATTGAGGATCTATTTCAAGGAAACAGCGTCTCCGTTATAGAAAACAGAGATTAACGGCCGTGGGGATTCGTTGCGCTGGCCACACGACACCCTATATTCGCTAAACTTGGCACTGACTTCGCCACAAGCTGTGGTTGCTCAGTCGGTATAGTTCGCTTGCGGACTAAAAGCCACGGAGTTTGTTTTGTCTTGTTTCCTTATACTTGTTTATTTCCTTTGTCTTCACATTCATTTATGAGCAAAGCTTGTGATGCTGCAGATACTGCAATGCGCAAAGTCAGGAGATTTCTTTCTAATACTTCATTAGCCCACCTAAGAAGTTTCAAATAAAATTTGTGAACTTTAATAGGAGTTCTATTTTATGTCATTCCACACTTTCTTGCAAGAATGGCTTTTGAAAGAATTCTTGAATTTCGACCTGAACTTCCTGTGAAGTAGATGGTATGCTGAAGCCAGTTACTAACTTCATGGAGTAGAATGCGTCTTAAGATTGTTATATTTCAGCATCCTGTTACATTGGGGCATCATTTTAAATTGTAAAGTATTCCATCTGTATTGCAACAAAGTCAATCCTTTCTTAAAGGACACTAAAATATATTTAATTCACTAAAAACTGTTTGCTAAACGTTTTAAAATATAATTAACTATGTGCATTCGTTGTTCTTGCTACATGTTTTGGCCGCACATGGGCCACCACCAGACAACAGTTATTATTTGGGGAGACCACTGCACTATACACTTTCTCCTTAGTACCCTAAGGCACATCGTTGTTGTTGTTAATTTGCTTCGTAGGATATTTTCGTCCTATTTTTTGGCGGCCGTTTCAGTGTTCCTTTTTAGTCTGTCGTTCACTTTAGTTGTGTGTTTTTAGTGCCGACAGTCGCTGAGGTAGTGAAGAAATTTCCCGCCTTGTATGGAACCAGCATACTCATTATTCTGATCACAAAATATCGTAATAGGATTGACATGGACCAAGATTAGCTAGCCAACGTTTAGTGTTGACCTCCAGAAGTTTCCAGTGGGCAGGACAGGAGATGAACCACGAGGGTGGACATACAGATCTATCCACATAGTTTCCACGTCATCCACTTTGCTCAAGAACGCATACAAATTCAAGTTCCTTGCAGACTGCAATCTGTCCAAGCAGACCTAGCTCTTAGCGTGTCACGTAAGCCTGTACTCTGCCACGTTGGCATATCTTTCTGCACATCTAAATCGACTTTACTCACGCAGTTTTAATGATTAAATTAGTTTCCGACGGGCAAAAGTAATATGACGTAAAAAAAAATTAATTTCACATCAGAAGTTGTTTACTGACCAGAGACTGACTGTTGAATCATATCACACGTGACTGCCAAATTAATGCTGTTATATGCATTACGTTTATCAAACTACTGGCTTATCAATATATATATATATATGAGTATCAGTGGCGTATGATTGATTTTCTGACAATAATTCACAAAATGGGTTATAGAAACCAAGTTTTATTATTTCCACACTTAGTAGAATGTGTCGTTATAAATTATAGCCCTGATTTTTAAATTTCTCTTCCATAATTTATCCAATATGTCTTTGTCACTACGATAGCTTTAATGCAAAAATTCGCCGAAGAGAGAGAGGCTTGAAGAGCATCGTTCTAGATCATCATGCGATGATACATTACAGTCAGAAATTAATAACTATGTTTAGAATACATATATTGATGGAACAGGAAGTGGCATTGCTGGAAGAAGACACGGAACATGGAAAAGATTTTAAAAAGAGAAAAAGAAGGCAAAGATACGTTCGAGAAGTGATCTGGAAATGGCTACTTAAATCTGAGCAACAACTTATAAATGGAGAGGCACTGGAAGCAGTCTGCATTCTTGGGGTCGCCGTAGCAAGACCAGGACCTGGAAGACATGGATCTTGGACAAAGAATTTCACAGGTGCAGTAAAACCAGTATTCAGAAGCATAGAGGCCAAACGCCAGGGATCAAGACATTTCTTTCTTGGCTCTTTTATTTTTGTTATCTAATAACTGTGTTTCAACTGTATATTGTTGGAGTGATTAAACTAAGAAGGGTGAGTAGCAAATGTATGGAATGTAGCACGCATGAAGAAAATGATAAAATCTCAGAAAGTTTTAGTCGAAAGGCTTTAGAAGAAGAGATAGCTGGAAAATGTAGAATTAGATGAGAGGATAATAATAATGAGAAACTTACAGAAATAATACGCGATTCAACTGGCTCTTGTGAGGTGGAAGGTAAAGTTGTCCCAGTAAATAAATAATTGAGCACTATGCGGTGAAGACGTATGGGGGCGTGGATATATAGATCCACGTTTTCTTTGCCTCGGCACTAGTTGGAGGTGAATGATCAGCTTCCTGCCCCGACCGCATTAACCGCGGTAACCATTAGATAGGAAGGAGGCTGGGTGGGCCCCAGAGCCGGTCTCGACGACGTGGAGAAAATAAAGTTCTTGACCCTACCGGGACTCGAACTACGAACCTTCGCCGCCCAGCCAGTAGCCAGTCGCTATACCGACAGAGCTCTCCCGGCTCCGCTAACTGGCTCTGGACATACTACAATATAGCACGATTCTGTATATTCGAATTTTCGTAAGTAAGTAGGGCCACGCCATAGCTGAAGGGTTAGTCGTTGGCTTCCCACCGCGGCGACCTGCGTTCGATCCCGGGTCTGATCAAGTGAGATTTGTGGTAGACAAAGTGGCGCAGGGGCATGTTTTCTCCGAGTACTTCGGTTTCCCCTGCCAATCTTCATTCCACCAATTGCTCCACAATCACCCTCACCTATCATCTTGGGCTGGTACAATAGGCCAGAAGTGGCCCCAGTAAGAGGGACTTAGTCCCACTCCACTACCAATAATAAAAAAAAGGTAAAAAGTAAAGATATCCCTGTAACAGGCCGTGGAGGACCATTGGGTTGTGAGATGTTGAGGTTCCCATATTTTCTATACAATCGACTCATAGATGGCGGTAAGGTTGTCAGCCTTACGCATCGGCCGCCCTTTACCACTAAGATTATTCCAAGAATATTCCTCGTACTTATTTCTGTTCTGAGTCGACCCCAGGGCCATAGTGCGGCTGGAAGGATTAGGTAAATTAAAAAATCTTATGACCTAATTTTCGTATTTAACAGAATGAAGTATTCTCTTGATCAACTAAGCAGTGCATATTCAAGAAAGTTCATATAGCATGAAGTTATTTGAATTAGTTGGTTTCCAGTTGCATGAATTTCTTGCCTAGTGTAGACCGTCCTCTGCCTAGTTCCTTGTGATAAAATTTAATTATTTCTTTTATTTGCAAATATCCCCGATGACGCACGACTTACAATGTTTAAAGGACCTAAATATTATGTTTGTGGCCAAAATTTAAATTGGTTTATTTCAGTAATATTTTTTTAAACAATACACACATTCGAGACAAAACCCAATCGCCTGGTTTGCATGTTACAAGAGGAGTACATAGGTTACATAGACCACATGTATAACAAGAAAGTGGCGACGATGAATTATTATTATTATTATTATTATTATTATTATTATTATTATTATTAATATTATTAGGAGCCGAGATAGCGCAGTCGGCATGGCGACCGGCTATTGGGTAGACGACCGAGGGGTCGGAGATTGAGTCCCTGTAGAATCAAGAATGTTCTCTTCTCCAAGTCGTCCAGACCGGCTCTGGGGCCCACCCAGTCTCCTATCCAACAGATACCGGGGACTCTTTCCCCGGGGGTAAAGCGGCTGGGGCGTGAACCTGACAAATCATCTCCAGCTAGTGTAGAAGTCAAAACGTGGATCTATACGTCCACTCCCTCATAAGCCTTCATGGCGTAGTGCTTAATTAGTTAAGCACAGGAACAACTTTTTTTCCCCTTGGCACTACAGCCCCAGTGGGCCTAGGCCTACATCCATGAACTTCTCCATTCACTTCGGTTTTTCTAGATCTTACACATTATATAGGACTCCTTGGGCGGGTGATCAGCTCGTCGCAAGGCCTCTACCTGTACACAAACACAGAAAAACGCACACACACACAAAATAAACATCCATGCCTTTAGTGGGATTCGAACCCACGATCCCGGTTTCCAAGCGAGCGAAGACAGTGCATGACTTAGACCGCTCGGCTACCGTGACCGGCCAGGGACAACTTTACCTTTATTAATACGTGTAGTATTACCATTATTAATGTCGCAACCTGCGCATCGGCTGGGCGGAGCTGCGCGGGGTGCGTTCCTGTGGTAACGCGAAATGCACCTTTACTCTGGGTTTTGATGGAGCTATAGGAAACATATGCATGGTAACGACATTCGAAACAGGCTGTTACCACGGATATGACAAACGGAACTCTTCAAGGAGGTAACTCCTATCCCAGCCGCCTAGCAGGGATAAAGGGAGAGCAGTTGAGAGGCCGTCAGTTCAGAGTTAAGAAGTGGAGTCAAGAGTTTAAAGTGAAGGCAGAGCTTATAAGTGAAGGCAGAGTTCATAACCGAAGGCAGAGCTCAGAAGTGAAGGCAGTGTTCAGAAGTGAAATCAAGAGTTCAGAAGTGAAGGCAGAGCTTATAAGAGAAGGCAGAGTTCATAACCGAAGGCAGAACTCAGAAGTGAAGGCAGTGTTCAGAAGTGAAATCAAGAGTTCAGAAGTGAAGGCAGAGTTTAGAAGTGGAGTCAAGAGTTCAGAAGTGAATGCAGAGCTTATAAGTGAAGGCAGAGTTCATAACTGAAGGCAGAGCTCAGAAGTGAAGGCAGTGTTCAGAAGTGAAGGCAGTGTTCAGAAGTGAAGGCAGAGCTTAGAAGTGGAGTCAAGAGTTCAGAATTGAAGGGAGATCTCAAAGTAAAGTCAAGAGTGAGAAATGAAACCGGAGAGAACACAGAAAGCGTGGGAACTGTTATAATTGAGTGTAATTGTAATATCGACGTCAAATAAACCTATTCAACAAATCTACAATCCACAATTATTAGTCACACGCACTCCCCCTACACGTGACATTATTGAAATGAAGTCAGAATTTTATAGGAAATGCGCGTTTCTTATTTCAGGCGGGATAACAATTAACCTGACAGAGGCCTTCCTTTACTTTCTTCAGTGTCTGCAGACGAAAGTGGAATAATGCTTCTGAGCTGTTATAACCGGCCCGATATGGTAACAATGTCGGTTAAATAGAAGAGAGTTTTGCTGTTGGTCCCGAAAGCAACTATAAACATGTTGAATAGGCATACCAGTAATGTCTCGAGGCAGATCTGTGACCCAGACTTATATGGCAGAAAGTTGCTAACCGGTATGTTGAACATAGCGGCAGTCACATGAATAGTGGCTGTACAGGTTTTCTTCTGACTTTGACCTTCAAGCGGTCATTCCAACCACACGGACAGGTCGAAGCAATGCAGCAATGGATGAAATATGTCGACATTTTCAGAAACCATAACCTAATCCTGGTGAATGTCGCCTCTGTGGTCCAGTGATCAGAGTTCCTGGCTACAGATCCAGAGGTCCAGGTTCGATTCCCGGCGCTACCAGATTTTCTGAGAAGTAGTGGGTCTGGAACGGGGTCCACTCAGCTTCGTGAGGACAAATAAGGAGTTACTTGAATGGAAAAGTAGCGGCTCCGGTCTAGAAAACCGAAATTAACGGCCGTGGGGATTCGTTGCGCTGACCACGTGACTAAAGTTGGCACTAACTTGCCGACAAGCCGCGGTCGCTCGGTCGGTATAGTTCGCTTGCGGACTAAAGCCACGGAGTTTAGTTTTAGTACCATTAATTACCTTCCGTTTCTTTAACTTGTGGATAAAATTTGATTAACTGTTATTACTCACATATTAAACAACTAACGATAATGGTACCTCCGCACTATCAGAATACCGCAGTCCATCAGAACTTCGCACTCGGCCACGACGTGGATAAATAAATGTAACCTAATATCTCATTGAGGTCCACATATGGACTTTCATATGGAACATTTTTCAATATGACGCACACTTAACTAAGCTCAAAGACAAGTCGGTCGTGTTATTTTTCGCTGTAGAATCTGTGGTATTAGCCGGTCGCAGTAGCCACGCGGTCTGAGGCATGAACTGTTTTCACTCGCTCGGGCGCTGGGATCGTGGGTTCGAATCCCAATTAAGGCATGGATGTTTGGTGTGCGTATGCATTTACTCTGTGTTTGTGCTGTCCTGTGTTTAGGTAGAGGCCTTGCGGCGGGATGGTCACTCGCCAAAAGAGTCCTGCTATCTGTGAAAAATGATTACGGAACTGAATAAGAGGTCAGGGCCTTCAATGGGCTGGAAGAGCCATCGGAAAGAAAAATCTGTGGTGTTAATAGATCGATGTGGATCGAAATCAAATTCACACAAATTCTACTGAATATTACACACTTTAATTGCCGCGTCTGTTTCAGTTACTCAGAGTAGCACGGACCACGGGGTCCCTGGACCGTAGGTGGTACACATCCATATCGGCACATTAAAGGTGTCAATGACAGGTCTCCAAAAAAATGTTTAATACATCGATTATTGTTACCTGTATTTAAACTGTATGAAAGGACTATACTTTTGCCTGTAATTCTGTATGGGTGTGAAACTTGGTCTCCGACATTAAGGGAGGAACATAGACTGAGGGTGTTTGAGGAGAATATTTGGACCGAAGAGGGATCAAGTGACAGAGCTTCATAACTTGTACTCTTCTCCAAGTATAATTAGAATGATCAAGTCAAGGAGGATGAGGTGGGCATGGCATATAGCACGAATGGGGGAGACGAGGAATGCCTATAGTATATTGGTGGGAAAACCAGAAGGAAATAGACCACTGGGAAGACCAAGGCGTAGGTGAGTGGACAATATTAAAATGGATCTTAGACAGATAAGATGGGATGGGATGGATTGGATTGATCTGACTCAGAATAGGGACCAGTAGAGGGCTCTTGTGAACACGGTAATGAACCTTCGGGTTCCATAAAATGCTGGGAAATTCTTGAGTAGCTGCACAATTGGCGGCTCCTTCAGAAGGGCTCAGCTCCATGAGTAAGTAAGTAAGAAATACGTTTTGTGTACTGGTATGTACTGTTTTCTTCTTCAATATTAGAGTATAAATACTAGGGTATATATTATGTTTGAGGTCGCATTTCCAGGTGCTTCTGCTGACGACAGCCATGGCGCTCTGCTTTCGAGTGACAACTGCGCAAGTCATCGCTCTCATCCCTGCTGTACTGCCCCCCACACCCATGACACTTCACAGGTAACAAGTCACACGCAGTAGGAGGCATGATGAGCAATCCTGCTTACTATTCCAGGTCCCGGATATGCTTTCAGATTATATAGATCAAATCAAAATATATGTTGCATGTTTTTAATAATATCCACGTAACAGATGCCAGTGAGGAGGCCTGGCTACATCGTCTGAACCGTCCATTGTTCTTCACAATATCACGTGATGCCGTCATCATGGTCTCGCAGTGTAACAAGTGCCTGAATATAAAAACGAGACGCCTTACGTAACTCCAAAACCACAGCCAAAATCATTTCATGGATAACAAATATGGCTCTCTACTCATTACGTTTTCTTTGTACTTCAAGAGAACACGGAGGTTCAATGCCGAAAATATTTAAGCCCGCCGTTGGACACAACCCTGATCTAGCTCAAAGTATAAATAACGACGTCGTCTAAGATATGGCGCAGTGTAGAGCTTGTGTATACCGACGTTTCGGAGGAGCATATCGCCTCCTCCGAAACGTCGGTTTACACAAGATCTACACGGCTCCAGATCCCAGAAGATGACATTCTTCATAGTCACCGCAGTCAAAACCTCAAATCTCACTTAAGCTCAAAATACTATAGAGGTTTACAATGTGGTCACCAGTTGTGTTGTGTTAAAGTGGTTTACGGTGGGGCCAATAATTCTGATTCAGATTAGGGGAATGTGCAGATTAAGATAATTCATGTTAAGCCTAATTATTCCAAATAAATCTCAAATTTAGTTTATTTTTCCCCATATTGTGAAATTCTTCCAGATTCGTTTCACATTGCCACAAGCTCACTTGCAGGATGCACGTAACACGAGGTCTGTTATCCTGCCATCTGCTTCCAGGTTCCCGAAATGACTGTATTCCAGAAGGTTTCCCCACAACATTTCTGAAAACATTTCCAACCAAATCCGAAATACATTGTAACCTCATTGATACGGTCAACTTCATGCTTGAATGGCTTCCTAGAAACGTTGATGGGTTTTCAATTGGTCAAGATAATCCATACTTTTAAGGAACCCGACAGTTAATTATTGTATTCACAAAAGCTCGCACTGTATCCTGTCCACAGTCAACAGATACTCTCCTTCATCTCCCAAATACTCTCTCCCTTCGAAATACGTCTGGCCAATATTCGTTTTGAACTTTTCATTCTCCATGCTTCCTGCGTCCGCCTCAACTCAACCTCCTCGATTTAAGTGCCTTCGCCATAACGGTAAGACGATACGAAGTAATCAGTACTTCTTGCGAGTCATTTGTAATTTCATTTGCTTAGGTTCGATATCTTCATTAGCTATATGTCCTAAAACACACGGAAAGTGTACTTTAAAACTTTAACATTTATCTATCTATGGCTCTACAGCCCTTGTGGACATCGACAGCTTTTTAATTTTCTTAATCTATACACGCCGGTATGGCAGCCGAGTGGTCTAAGACATGCACTGTCTTTCTGGTTCGGACGCTGGGATCGCGGGTTCGAATCCCACTCAGGACATGGATGTTCAGTGTTTGTTTGTGTGTGTGCGCTTGCGTTTTTATGTGTTTGTGTATAGGTAGAGCCCTTGCGACGAGCCGATCACCCGCCCAAGGACTCCTACAAAATGTCTTCAGATCTAGTAAACCGAAGTGAAACGGAGAGTTTCATGCAGGTAGACCACGGCCCAAATTGGGGCTGTAGCGCCAAAAGGAGAAAAGAATCTATACACAGAACAACATAAACACAGAATAAACGCAGACAGACATCTATTCCTCGAATGAGATTCAAACCAAAAATCCCACTGTTCTAGCGGGTCTTAGACCGCGCGGCCATTGTGATCGGCTGAAATTTTAAGATTAAAACACAAAAATTTATAATTTTTCCTGTTCGATTATATTGTGTTACAATATAATGTCACAGTCTATTGAAAGAACATAGGTCGAAGATGCTCCAGAAAAAAGTGCTGAGGAGAATATTTCGAGGAAAACCAAGGGAATGCACAGATACAATTAGACCTCTCAAATGAAAAATCTTCATAAAGTGAAAGTCTACATTCCACTTCTTGTCATTGCATTGAGTAAACAATGGAGAACTAAATCCACAGTCATTGTGTCACACACGCAGAATGCGGAAGTTTCGTATGAGTGTAATCAGAAAACCTCAAGCAATGAGACCACTTCGGAGGCGTAGAAGTGTATGCGAGCATAACATTTTACTGCATCTCAGATAAATCGTGTGCGAGTTTGTGGAGTGGTTTCAGCTTGTTCACAACAAGGCCCAATTGTGGACTCCTGTCAACAAGGTAACTATTCTCCGGGTTTCAAGAGAAAATAGCAGAATTACAGGGTTTGTGGACTTTTTCCATCATCCAGAATTCTAGGTTTCGGAAACTGGATCTGTTTCCGTCTTCAGGTGAGGAAGGAAGACACTTACACAGTTGTGTCCCTTAGAAAGAGCTAATCTCAATCACTGGACAACTCCTGTCAGATTTACCCAGCTATTTCAACATATAAGACTAGGCTAGTTCAGCGGGAGATAACAACAAGTCATAAAATAAAAATTGTGATAGAGCATGCACATGCGTGGAACTAGGATAGAAAAGGGGGTAGAAAATTATTTTAGAAACCTAGCTGACAAAATTCTTTGTATCATCCTCCATCGTCAGAACCCTTTAGAATCTGCTAGTAAAATAGCAACCAAAACTTCAAGGAAGACCTGCATTATGGAATTAGCTAATCTTAAAATACCAGCAAATTCGTAATCGAAATGATGACACTCGATATGTTTCTCCTGCTGCTAGAAGTACGAACTGGATTTTAACATGTTCATTGTTATTCTTCGCAGCGTTCCAGTGTTTGCCACTCACGCTAAACCGGTCTCACGCCCTCTGCAAATTCGAGGATCAGTCTTGGCACAAGAACCCGATGGTACAGAAGTTCTTATTGGACCGCTCGACGGTGGATCCATTGTTGCAGCACAAATCAATGTTCACAGTCCACTTCAATTAGTTGTACACCAGCCTGTTCCATACGCTAGCGCCACCGGAAATCCTATGGCTGTTCCACTGAAACTACTGTTTACTCGTTTCCCGCCGTTCATCGAAGCTATCGTTCAGAGAATTCAGAACTACTTTTCTACCTATAATCACGTAGGCAATGAGAATTATCAAATCTCAACACCGGAAAATGATCCATTACCAACAACAACGACGCCCACAACACCCGCGTCAACGTTTATAGCAACGACGGCGACAACACCAGTGTCAGCGTCTACAACAACGACGCCCACAACACCCGCGTCAACGTCTATAGCAACGACGGCGACAACACCAGTGTCAGCGTCTACAGGGACTGAGACAACTCTCCAGCCCGTTCCAACCAATGTTGGCTCGCAGACAGAAAATAACCCTCATGACGAACACAATTCATCATTCCCATCGTTTAGTGTACAAGAGGGAACTTATCGGCATAGGTACGATCCACCAGCATCCAGCCCTTTCAAATATCCATACCCCAAAACAGGTTTCCACAGGTTTACAGGGAAAGAATTTCCTTCTCCGGAAATGTGATATAGTGCTACGTACACGTGAAATGCAACTGCTTTAGTAAATTCTTTTAAGTTTTATTAATAAATGAATTTTTAATTTTAAATATTTGTTTAATTTATTCATTTCATTTCTAATTTTATTTTGTTCCGAAAGTTATTTTTTTTCCAGGTGAACACTTACTGGATTTTTCATAATTTGTATTCTTTGTTTAATAATGGTAGAGCAATTAAATCAAGAGAGATCTGATAAGATAACATGTAGCATGCACAAGGAAATGAGAAATTAATATAAAATTTCGATCGGTATACATCGAGGATCGAGAACACTAGACAGACCTAATAGTGGTTGTTAGGATAATAAAAAACTAAATCTTGCTTAAACATAATGAGTGGATACAAGAGGCTTGGTAGTGTCAAATAGTGGCTCTTTCGAACATGTACTGCACATTCTGATTCTGAATGATGTCGGGAATTATTTGATTGCCTGTTAACTACTTCATAAATGCCCTATACCATCCCCAACCCACACACAAACAAAATAAAAAATTTCAATATCATCCTTCCATTTTTGCTTATGTTTTCCAAGTGGTTTCTTCATTGAAGTTTTACGGCCAAATTGCTTTTACTCTCATTGCATCAAGTGCTACTAGAAGCTATTGAAAATATTCATAATTCATAATGTGTATGTATTAACAGTCTTCAAGTGCACACAATCCCATTTACCACCTCTACACTACATGTTTCGGCAGTATGGTGCCATCTTCAGGTGTATCGATCCGATACAAGCAGACTGCTTGTACCGGTTCTCACGATCTCTTCGCCTGCGGATTTCTTATATTTTTCCTTCTATCCTGAAGATGGAGGTGATACGTTCCTCCAAAATGTCGGTTAACACCACATATACACGGTGCCAAATCCCAGAAGACTGCCTTCTTCATAGTCACAGCCGTGAAAACCTCAAATCTTACATCGTATTTCGTTCTTTTGCAGAAATCTCCTACAGCACGGATCACTAGGCAAGTCAGATTGGCATCCGCGTTTCCGCTTAATGGTTTCGTATAGATTACACGTAAAAATAGGTCCCGTAATTCCTTAGCTAACAATGATATAACAGAACTTTCTGTGACAACGTAACTTTTCTTACAGAAGGGGAAAAAGTATTGCACGTGTTGTAAGATGAGAAACGAGTAAAAAATTTGTCTTGAGAAAAAAAAGGAGCTCATTATACGGAATGTCTTCTGTTTTCGGATCGGACATCTGAGGGCAGAAACTCTACAGCAGGGGTTCATGTCTTTAGGACCTGGGGCTTTCCTATCGGCTGGCGGGATTCCGGTTTATATAGGATGAAAATGTAATATCACTACAGGGCATTCTATTAACAGTGACTCTAAGTTATTGCCTATTGCAAACAGCTTCATATTCTATTAAGAATGCTATTAACTTACTGCCTCGTTCAAACAGGTACACATATTATTCAGAGTGATGTGTACTGCCCATTGCAAACAGGTTCATATGTTAGGCATGCTCAATAATTTCCCGTTATTGCTTACTGAAGATAGGGACTCGTGTCAGGGCCCTGTCAACAGGGTAATGAACTTTCGCAGTATATAAAAAGCGGGTAATTTCTTGCCTAGCTGGGCGACTGATAGCTTCTCAAGAAGGAATTTGCAGCATGGAGATCCAATTATTGTTTTTTCCTTGTACAATATCGATCTTCTGATTTTTTTATTTAAAACAACATTCCGGAGACTGCATTCTGTCTCCATCTTCAGGGAGAAACCTATTCAGTCGGGCTCAATTGATAGAGCTAGGCCCTACCTCTGAAATATTGTGTTTTAATCTAAAAAGAGGCCGGTCACGGTAGCCGAGCGGTCTAAGACATGCACTGTCTTCGCTCGTTCGGAAGCCGGAATCGTGGGTTCGAATCCCACTTAGGGCTTCGATGTTTGTGCGTGCGTTTTCCTGTGTTTGTCTACAGGTAGAGGCCTTGCGACGAGCTGATCACCCGCCCAAGCAGTCCTATCGTATAAGATCTAGAAAAACCGAAGTGAACGGAGTTCATAGAGGTAGGCCTAGGCCCACTGGGGCTGTAGTGCCAAGGGGAAAAAAATCTAAAAAGAGGACGTTGGATAATGTACAAAACACAATGATTGTGTTAATATATCATCGTCATAATTTTTTTAGGTGTTGTTTCCATGGAGTTACTTTGCTTATTTATTAATCATGCACTTAACATTTGATTCAGACGGCAAATGCTTTTCATCAGTTACAAGGAATAACACAATTCTGCCCTACAGAAATGTGTATGGGTCTTATAAAGCACATCTACGGACTGCACAATGAAGGCTTATATCTGTACAAATGTCTATACAGTGGTTCCCGCTCTTTTAGTCTGAGTCTCTTTCCCTCCAGCCATAAGAATTACTTAAAATTTTATTTAGAAATATTCATTTCATTTTATTTTTTTAAGTTGGTTGTTTAGCGATGATGTCAATAAAAGGTAAAGGTAAAGATTTCCCTGTGCTTAACTAATTAAGCACTACGCCATAAAGGCGTACGGGGGAGTGACCTTGACATTAATGACAGGCTCTTGTGAAGACAGTAATAAGCCTTCGAGTTTCTTGAAAGCAGAAATTTATTTAAACAATAATTTCCAGGAAGAATAAAATTTTACAATTAATATTTATCATAAAATATATTCCCTTATAATACTCTTAACATATATACATATATATACAGAGTGGACAGCCCAAAAATATATGCACACTACAACGTAACAGAGTATCTGCTTAAATAATTTATCGTGCATCTTCCGTTCAGTTTTGAAAATTTTTCGTAGATAACTTCTATAATACAATTTAATAGAGATTACCTGCGGGCATTTTCAAAGCTGAGTTGGGAAAACTTATCTGTCCTACTGGAACTGTTAAATGATTTCTGATTACGAACATTAGTATTGACAAAACTTCCATTAAGTTCAACCGGAGGTCATTTACCCTGAACTGTAAACTGTATTTCAGGGGTGATAAAACTTCCAGTCATAGCACCAAGAAATATTTTTAGATTACTTTAGAGTGTTTTATAAAAAAATGGACTATATTATCATGTCCACGTAATTTTCTTACAAATCTATGTACCATACGGAAATTTTTCACGAAACTTCGTATGTGCATTATTCCACTAGAGGCTACATCTTTAAAAAAGTAAAAAAAAAAAAGTAAAACTACCCTGTAACAGGCCGTGAAGGCCCATAGGGTTGTGAGAAGTTGAGGGTCCCACATTATCTAGACAATCGGCTCGAATATGGCGGTAAGGTTGTCAGCCTTACGCGCCGGCTGCACTTTACTCATCAGGAAAATTATTTAATTAATTCCTGGTACTCATTTCTGTTAGAGGCTGAATCGACCCCAGGGCCATAGTGCGGCTGGAAGGATTAGGTTAATTGAAAAAATCCAATGACCTTATCGGGCCTTGAACCCGCGACCGACTTGTAGCATAGCGTCTCAACCACTATGCTACCGCGTGCCCCAGAGGCTACATCTTTACACATTTAAATTGCCTACCGTTAACACCACCAACATGGCTCTGTGAACATCTTAGACGTGAAATTCCGCGATATTATCTGAATTAGGCGATCACCTCTTCCTTCCAAATCCTTTCCAATTCATCGTTCATGTATCATCCCAATGTTAGATCGATGTAGTACCGACTGCGTGGAAAATAATCCCCCCCCAAAAAGCTGTATAAACTGTTCAGTTAAGGCAAGGCATGAAAAAGAAAAATCCGCATGGGTAAAAAATCTTATACTAAATGTCAGAATTCTTCCATCTACCTCTCTATAGCTCTACAGCCCTTGTGGACCTCGCCTGCTTTTTCAGTTTCTTAATCTATACAGTCGACAGAACTCCTTGGATGGGGGATCAGCCCGTCGCAAGGTCGCTACCTACACACACAACAACACAAACGCAGAATAAACGCACACAGATACCCATGCTTCGAGTAAGATTTGAACCCACGATCCCAGTGTTCGAGGGCGCGAAGAAGGTTCTTGCTTTAGACAACACGGCCACAGCGATCGGCAGAGTTTGTTCAGCCCTCCGGAATTTAATCCTTAAAAAATAAAATTAAGAAGAAGACGAAAAACTTGCATGGTAAGATCCAATGCTGAAATCTTTAAATGAGTGTGACACAGCGATAAACCGGCGGTCTACGTCACAAAGTTGGAGATTTTAATTCAAGTTACCAATAGCAGATCACAGAAGGGTTCGTGAGTGCTGATCAGAACAGTCCATGGTTTTTTGTGGATTAGAATGTAATTCCTGTAATTGACGACAGGGTCAGCACATTGGTGCAGTTCTTACTCATCTCTGTAACATCCAGGCTTTAATCAAGATCTTGAATAGAGTACATGACTTCAGCTGAAAGTAATTCCTCTTACTTGGGTCATCATTTGTACGTACGTTTTTGTGACAAAACAGGACAACTGAGAAAGAACTCTCTAGTTTCAAAAGGCAATAAATCGTTAGATATTGAACAAAATGAAACGTTTCTTTATCATACGGGGGAACATGGTAGCGTAACTGTATGAGGCACTATGCTATAAGCCGAAGGTCACAGGTTCGATTACCGATGAGGTCATTGCATTTTTTCAATAGACCTAATCCTTCCAGCCACACTATGGCCCTGGGGTCGATTCAGCCTCTAACAGAAATGAGTATCAGGAATGTTCTGGGGGAGTAATGGACGGCCGGCGCGTAAGCCTGACAGCTCACAGATTGTCTATAGAAAATATGGAAGCCTCGACATCTCACAACTCTAAGGGCTTCCACGGTCTGTTAGAGGGGTAACTTTACTTTTTTACTTTGTTTACTTATTTAGAACATATCACAAAGTTTTGTGACATCCTTACAACATCTCGACGTGAGCACCATTTTGGACCCTGTAGATATGCAAGCGATATTCGATCACGTCCCAGGTACGAGGAAGCATGTTCGGAAAGGACTGCCAGTGCAGCAGCAAGAAAAAATCGCTCTCACAGGCGAAGCAGACCACGGGGTTTCTCTGCGTACACAATGTTGTTCTCATACTTCCGCGTAAAATTATCCAGTGGCATAAGATCCGGCTCCCTTTTGTGGCCAGGAGATTTGTTCACTTCATCCAATCCCTCGATTAGGAATCTAGTATTCAGGGCATGTTAAAGCTTACGAATGAAACTGGATGGGGGGTTTCGTCCTGTTGAAGAACAATTGTATTTTTTTTTTCGCCTTCATTGTACTAATTTCCGGGTAAGTAAACAATTCTAACTCGTTAAGACAAATACTACCCGTAACGGTGTCTTTGCAAAAAGAAAGAAGATTTTCCACACGGTCATACAGAAATCCAGACCACACGTTCATTTTAGGGTTGTCACGCACGTACACAGAAACTTTTGGCGGATGTTCTGCTCCACAGAATCGACAGTTATGACACTTAATATGGCCGTTAACGTGAAACGAAATTCCGTCTGAGGAAAATACTAATATTAGAAAGCCATTATTGTCATAAATTTCAGGTAATATTAATATATGTATATTGACTTGAGTTACAATTAAACGTCTTGTGACTTTGAATAGTCTAATCTTCTTCTGTATTTAACCGTATTTATCACCTGAAATCAGACGACAAATTTGTTTACTTTAATAGCCGTGCCATAGCTCAGGCGGTTAGTCGCCGGCTTCCCACTGCAGCGAGAGGATTCGAACCCGGGTGAAGTCATATGGGTTTTGTGGTGAACAACGTGGCACTGGGGCAGGCTTCCTCCCAGTACTTCGGTTCCCCCCTGCCAATTCTCTTTCCACCAAATGCTCCATATTGATTTATCATCAGGAGCTCGTTAAATAGGCCAATTAGTGGCCGACGTACAAAGTGGACACAGTCTGAGCCTACCCCATGAAACTTAAAAAAGAAACTACGTGCTTCAATATGACGCTTTGAAAGAAAGGGTAATATGAAATATTAAACGAATGAAATATTGTACATTAATACCCACAAAACAGTAACCGAAAGTATTCAGACATATTCTAACGAAATGGGTAGCTTCTCCTGCAAATATAAATGTCCGTTAATAAACTATATCACAAACAGAACCAAAATTTGAGCTAGATAATATGTAGGTAAATGTAAAGGTGCCGGTCACGGTAGCCGAGCGGTCTAAGGCATGCACTGTCTTCGCTCGCTCGGAAGCCGGGATCGTGGGTTCGAATCCCACTCAGGGCATGGATGTTTGTTTGCGTTTTTCTGTGTTTGTGTACAGGTAGAGGCCTTGCGACGAGCTGATCACCCGCCCAAGGAGTCCCACCGAATGTCTAAGATCTAGAAAAACCGAAGTGAACGGAGAAGTTCATGGAGGTAGGCCTAGGCCCACTGGGGCTGTAGTGCCAAGGAAAAAAAATGTAAAGTTGCCCTTGTGCTTAAATAATTAAGCACTACGCCATGAAGGAGCTTGGGGGAGTGGAGGTATAGATCCATATTTCCTTGACCTCGGCACTAGTTGGAGCTGAGTGGTCAGCTTCACGCCCTTGCCGCTTTACCCCCGGTACCCACCGGATAGGAGACCGGGTGGGTCCCAGACCCGGTCTGGAATACATGGAGAACAGAAAATTCTTGACCCTACCGGGACTCGATTACCGACCCCTCGGTCGTCCAGCAAGTAGACAGTTGCTATACCGACTGCGCTATCCTGGCTGTTAGATAATAGGTAGAAATACATTCATTCCTTCCTATCCAAAACTGTTTAAACACTACAAAATAATTCAAGTGACGTCCTATCACATCAAATAATACAGCTCAGTTGGGTGCAGTATCGTGCTACAGCAACAGCATCTGTAAACAGTTCCTTCTATACTTGCTGCCCTGGGCCAACAGACAGACGCAAAATGGTATTCCTTATTGTTGCGAAGACAATACCACACGCTGCTATAGGGAATAATGCACAATCAGGGGGGCAAATTGCATATTGCAGACGTAACAAATCAACGGGCTCACGAACAGAAAAAGAAGCTGCCACAATAAAACATCTGAAGAAAAGAATACAGATCAAAACAACTGGACGACGCCCCTTGTAAGGTGTAATAAGAATTTTACAAAATTTAAAGAAAATTTTAGTAGATTTTATTTTATTTTATTTAAATTAAGTTAACTACAGCGTGTGCTTTTTAGCGCATACCAATTGACTATGATTATGACGTTTCAAACAATGAAGCGTGCAGTTTCATATTAGCTGAATGGATTATATTAGTGCACTGTAGTAGTTTTAGCATAGTAATACACCTGAAGATGGCCATTTAGGGCCGAAACATGTTGCATCGAAAGTAAAAGTGTAAGAAAAAAGGAACAATTTGTAGCATTGTTGATGGACTGTGTAGTCCATAAACAGTTTTAGACAGAGTAATGTAACAAGATGCTTAAATACAAGATAAGCAGAATATCTTAATCCGAGGAAAGTAAATTGTAGAGGAGGAAGGGAAAACGTTAATACACATAAGCTATACGTTGTATGTTGATTAGTTGCTGAAATGTGATTTAAGAAATGTTGCTGTTTTCACTAACACTGAAACGCTGCACGTAATATTTATGCTTCAGACAACCAAGTCAGATTGCCTGTATCTTTCAATCGACCTCGCATACTTTTAGAAACTGTCATAAAGCGGTCTTTCCATTACCAAGATAAATCTGATTAAGAATAACGAAAAGGTTCAGGTACTAACTGACATTGGAGCAGCCTGATTTGCATCCAACTGCTCTTAGGTCATTACGTTGTGTGGTCTATGCTCCTACTTGTCAGTTTATTCCTTCTCGGTGTTGAGAATACATCGGCTGGAAGCATATAACGTCCCGTACAGTGTAATAGGTTTTTCTCGACCTATCCTATACACTGGATTTACTTCTGAGTTCGGAAAACACGTTTAGAAGCAACAGTTGCATTCTGCCATACCTGCAGCCACGAATTGTTACTACAATGTTGCAGACAAAGGTAGGAGTAAACGCATTGTTCTTACATAAACTCCGACAGAACATCTGTCAAGTAATAACACATTCCATGGAATAATGGACAGTGTTATTTGAATTACAACTAAAATGGAAATTCTGACCCTTCTGCTCTGAGCATGGGATATCTCGGTTATATGCGCTTCTGTTCTGAATTCATTTCATAAATGGAAGAACAAATATTTTCTGCCATCTCCCAACAGTTGACACCATTTTCTTATTGCTAGTGGGGTGGGACTAAGTCCCATGTACTGCGGCCACTTCTGGCCTGTTGTACCAGCCCCAGATGATAGGTGAGGGTGATTGTGGAGCAATTGGTGGAATGAAGATTGGCAGGGGAACCGAAGTACTTGGAGAAACCCCGCCTCAGCCCCACTTTGTCCACCACAAATCCCACTTGCTCAGACCCGGGATCGAACCCGGGCGGCCGCGATGGGAAGCCAGCGACTAACCGCTTCAGCTATGGCGCGGCCCAACAGTTGACACTAACTACGTATATGAGGCTTTGCAACAATATAAATTACATGCCGTCATGGAAATTTACTAACAGTCAAGTTAGTTAAAATTAAAATGTACTATGGAAAATGTTAATTTACATATTACAAAATTACATGTTAACTAAAAGTGGTTCCAACTCTGCCAGAACTTTATATGATTTCTTAATGAAAATGAAATCATTCCGAGCAAGATATCGGATTCCTATTGGCTGCCAACCGAGGGGATTCCTAAGAGACCTACTAACGCGATGCTCTGTAGGCCGTTTCGGATATCAGTAAAGGTAACGAACTGTCACGCGTATGTGTGACTACAGACGGGGTTTGGATTAGTGAAGAGACTAATTCAACTCTTATACACACGACTCAGAACTACAAGCAATTACAGCGTCACCGCTCATCTTCACAAATCATCGCAGCACCCACTAAGCCTTTTTCCAGCCTGCTGTGTCTTCACCAGCCGTTCCATGATAACGGCTTCTAACAGTGGAGATTCTTCAGCTTCACGCGCTGAGGTCATCTCTTCACAGCCTTCCCTGCAGAACTGAACATACTTTGTCCTTTGCTTATAAGATCTCGGCACGGACTACATAGATAACGTAATTCTTCTACTGTTGCGTTGAACTGTTGCATTATTACGAATCTGATGTTTAGCAAAGAGAAGTTGTTTACCAAGTTGTTGCCCTGAAACGGTCGCTGTTTACAAAGCCACCGCTTAGCAACGGGTAAATACGCCACAATGTACATCAACAGCGATATGGTATAGGCGTTTTTTTTATCGTTAACAGAGATGGGTGGTAAGCTATGATGCGTGTAGTTTCGAAGTCAATAGCTTCTTTTCTACGACCGTCGGTTCACTGTGAACTGTTGATAGTTTTCTATATAGAATACACAGTAAAAACATGGTTACAATCAGATGTCTGTAAAAATATTTCCTTTTGAAAACAATAAGATATGGACTCTCATAATTTGGCATATCAAGCATGGGTGGGTGGTTGGATGTTGGATTGAAGGACGATTCGTAAGTATAATGATGCTACATCAACTGGAAAGACTATTTCGCTCCCAATGATATGAGACAATGATCTTCTTCGGTGAAATTGAAATATTTGCGGAGGATTGGGTTATGGTCTATTTCAATGTACTATCCCAGCATTCGCCCCGAGGAACTGAGGAAACTCACTGAAACCATCAGAATTCGAATGTATCACATCCCGAACCCAAGTTAGAAGAGCTTGCTCGATACGAAGCCTCTATAAAGATACGATTATACGAGAGAAATGAACATGGCAACAAATTTTTGGATCTATGAAACTCTTTCTATTAAAATTGCAGACTACTTGTAGGGTTGAAAATAATAATGTAATTTCAGGAAAATATTGTGGAAGTACATCAAGAATAATGCAAACCTATTACTCTTCAAAAATACTCACTCACTCATTGAGCTGAGCCCTTCTTGAGAAGCTGTCAATTCTGCAGCTACTCAAGAACTCTCCAGCATTTTATGAAACGCTAAAGCCCATTACCGTGATCACATGAGCCTTCGACTGGTCCCTATCCTGAGCCAGATCAATCCAATTCATATCGTTCCATCCTATTTCTCCAAGATCAATTTTAATATTGTCCGCCCATCTATTTCGTGGTCTTTCAAGTGTCCTCTTTCCTTCTAGCTTTCCTATCAATATCCTATATGCATTGTTCTTCTCCCCATTCCTGCTACATGCCATGCCCATCTCATCATCTCTGACTTGATCAATGTAATTATACTTGGAGAAGAGTACAAGTTAAGAAGCTCCTCATTATGCAGTTTTCTCCAACCTCCTGTCATTTCATCCCTCTTCGGTCCAAATACTCTCCACAGTACTCTCCAAAAATATATCAACAACATTTAAAAACAATTATAATAAATTGAAACAATTCTGTTGGTAGTGTCTAGTTGTATATCTGACATAATTCATCTTCAAACTAAAGAGGCAAGGTAAAGTTGTCTCTGTGCTTAACTAATTAAGCACTACGCCATGAAGGCGGATGGGGAAGTGGATGTGTAGACCCACGCTTTCTTGACCTCGGCACTAGTTGGAGGTGAGTGGTAGTCTTCACGTCTCGGCTGCTTTACCCCTTGGGAAAGAGTCCCTTGTACCCATTGGATAGGAAACTGGGTGGGACCTAGAGCCGGTTTGGACGACATGGAGAAGTGAAAAATTTTGCCCTCACGGGGACTCGAACTCTAACCCCTCGGTCGTCCAGGCCGTAGCCAGTCGCTATACCGACTGCGCTATCCCGGCTCTTCCATCTTCAAAGTACGTAGGAATCTTCAGGAGATATTTGAAAGGAAATAAATTGGCATTATAGCCGAACAAATACAGTTCACAGCACACAGAAAGGTTAGAAAGCGAACCTCAACTGGCCTTCGGCATGTGTTATATAGCTAACAATACTGAGGGCCAGATAAAGAAGAATTTAATGAAACGAGGCACAGATACCTATAGTTGTGGAACGAGTCCATTTGGTGGATTTTCAGATTCTGCTGCTGGTAGTCACGACATCCGCGCTGTTCCTTGGGACATGTGCTGCACCCTACCTGCTCCTGCAGCCTCGAACGATGTCATGGGCATGGCCAACTAACAGTTACCCACCGGTCTTTGCGGTCTTTGCTCTGCACAGGTGATGAGTTTGCTCCAGTCATTCCATTATAACTGTCTACTCTCAGTTTTTACGTCAGTAAGGTTAAAATATGCATACAGCTTTTGTGCGGTCAACAGTAAAGCGCCATTGGTGTTGTAGTTACTATAGGATTCTGACGATGGTGTATAACACAATGATATGTTGGGATTTTGGACTTTATCCATCGTCCTGGTTTTTAAGATAACAAATAAAAACACGACGTTTCGGAAACTGGATCTGTTTCCGTCCTCAGGTGAAGGAAAACACCTATTCAGTTGGGTCCCTTAGAAAGAGCTAGCCTCAATCACTGGACCAACATTCACCCACGATAACCTGCTGGCACGCGGTAGCGTAGTTGGTTGAGAAACTATGCTACAAGCCGGAAGGTCGCGGGTTTAAGTCCCAATGAGGTCATTGGATTTTTTCCAATTGACCTAATCCTTCCAGCCGCACTATGGTCCTGGGGTCGACTCAGTCTCTAACAGAAATGGGTACCAGGAGTCTTCCTGGGCGTTAACGGCGGCCGGAGCGTAAGGCTGACAACCTTACCGCCATCTGCGAACCGACTGTCTAGAAAATGTGGGAACCTCGACCTCTCACAACCCTGTGGGCCTTCATGGCCTATTACAGGGATAGCTTTACCTTCTTTTACTGTGATACCCATGTAAAAAGTAAGGAAAAGTTTCTGCAAGATGTTACAGTTCTAAATAAGAAACTGTTCATGCAGTCTAAACAAATTTCCGCAGACGGGGTCGTTATTATGCAAAGAAAAAAGAACAATGCACATAGCTCATTGAAGAGCTCTGATGAAATCGGTGCTGGCGTTGAACATCCTTCGCGAAAACCCTTTACACGCCTTGCAGAGGAGGTCGGGGAGTAATATTTCAGGTTACAAGTTTGCTCAGTGTCTAGAAAGGAACTTCAGCGCATGAATATAAATTATCTATGTAGCTGCAAGGCATGCGTGGGCAACAACAAAGATAGGTACCGGCCTCGATTGGTTTTTCTAAGTCTCACATGCAGCACTGTGTTCTATAAAATTTATTAAAAGTTATTCTTCTTTAAAAGTTCGTCACTGCATATTTCGACCAATGCGGTCATCATCAGATGATAAAATTACTGGGCGAGGAAACTGCTGTCTTCTGTTGTTTATGTTGGTAATAGACTATATAACTCCTTTCGAAACGCACATGTGTTTGGGTTGGTGGGTTGTGTTCTCTCCTGTTACTGGCATCTCTCATGAAGTGAGTGGTTTTATTCTTGATTTGTTGCCTATGAGCCTGGCGATTACTTGCGATCTGCTTATCAGGAATTCATGAAGACAGTCTTCTTAAAGAAAAAGGTGTAGTTGTATCTTCAGGAAATATAAGTTCTCTCAAAACAGGCTATACTGGCCAGGCACATTTGATTGTTGTTCGGTATTCAGCACCCGACAATGGTGTGCCGTGCGACAATCTACTACTGTAATAGAGGTCAATGCTACATATATGCGAGTATGTGCAGCGTCTTCCTGCCAACTTTTCCCTCTTGTATTTGCGAAATGTAACTAAACCCACATTCAGAATAACCGGTGCTTCACTTTAAGCCCAGTTTCTCGCCGTATAAAACATAATTATCTGGTGTAATGTTAAAATAATTATCTTATTTCAGGGGGAAGGTATTCAATTCACTGCCATCCGACTACGTCCTCGACACAGTAACACCTGCCGGTGACGACAAGTCTGCCCTACCATCTAGCGGCATTGATGTCTACTACGTTCCAAATACGGCCCCGCTCGGAGTAGCAAATATGTACGATCTGCCATCTGGGGACGGAATCATCAAATCGAATAGAACAGTGACAACACACCCCCACGCATTGATACCAACTTTGGGGGACGTGATTGAATTCATTCCGTTTCTTCCAGTTGAAATTAATGTTCCTAATGTGATATCATCAATGATGAATTTCTTTAGCTGGATGATTAACAGACGACCACAGGACCAGACGACCCCCAGAATTTATTTCGTGCTTAAAAAATGATCATGATTACGGAGTGTATCTGTTGAGCATGGTGATAGCACTGTCAGTGTTCCTTCCAATAGCCAACCTTCACACGCTGCTACAATAGCGCGATTGTCGCATCTTGTGAATCGTACACATGTCCGTTGCAAACTACGAACAGGAAGGAACATACACCACTTATACTCTGAACAGCTTCGGTGAATAATTTCGGTGAACACAAATTCTGTACTGACGTACGAGTGGGTGATCTAGGTAACTTCAAATGTTACCTCCTTTATGTGTGTTCCGTTAGCGCTGCCAACAGTAACTAGTATTTCAGAAAACAAGATCCAATGTCTAACGTTAGGATTTACCTCCAAAAGCGAGTGCCAGATATGGCCTTTAGTTTTATTTTCAAATGTTAGGGAGTATTGTTTTCACGCCCAAAACTCCTAGTGTTGGCAGCGCTAACGTGACAGATAACATGGCGGTAAATTTTAAAGTTACTGGAACATAGTACCAGACATTATTTCCTGTCTTTCCTTTGTTAATTAATTAATTAATTACTGTATGTAGTGCCTGTGTTATAATGAATACTGGAACTTCAGACAAACAAAAAGAAGAGCGCATATTTACTAAATTAAATTCAACATCGAACAGGTAGATAGCGAATAAAATAGACCAATGCAGGCAGTTACTGAAGGTATAATTCAAGCCCGTATGTAGTTAACGCTTCATACTGCAATCATAATTATATACATTACCAACTTTACTGTTCAATAATGTAATATTTATGGGTTTCGCTCGCCTGTTACAGTAAACAAATATTGCTAATGTTATATTTTAGCGCCCTGTTGCACTGATTTAAGTCCATGATTTATTTAATCCGAAACATGTAGTGCGAGAGAGAGAAGGAGATAAATGAGTGTATGCACTGCAAGACGGATTAAATAAATCATGGAAATAAATATTGCTTTCCCAGATTTTCACCCACAAGTTTTGTCGGGTAGATGTGGTGAATAATTCGGTACAAGAGAATTTTTACATATATACAGACCGATAGAAGGCATACCAAAAATTGCTTTTTCATACTTAGTGGGGCACAAAACCTATACTTACTTACTTACTTACTTACTTACTTACTTACTTACTCATGGAGCTGAGCCCTTCTGGAGGAGCCGCCAATTCTGCAGCTACTCTAGAATTTCCCAGCATTTTATGGAACTCGAAGGTTCATTACCGTGTTCAAAAGAGCCCTCCACTGGTCCCTATCCTGAGCCAGATCTATTCAATCCATACCATCCCATCCTATCTCTCTAAGATCCCACCAATATCCTATACGCATTCCTCGTCTCCCCATTCGTGCTACATGACCTGCCCCCCTCATCCTCCTTGACTTGATCATTCTAGTTATACTTGGAGAAGAGTACAAGTTATGAAGCTCCTCATTATGCAGTTTTCTCCAACCTCCTGTCACTTCATCCCTCTTCTGTCCAAATATTCTCAACACCCCGTTCTCAAACACCCTCAGTCTATGTTCCTCCCTTAATGCCATAGAGCAAGTTTCACGCCCATACAGAACCACAGGCAAAATTTTCACCATCAGAATATCTTCCCATGCGTACTACTACTTGAGGGAGAAAATGGTAATTCAATTAGACAGATAAGTTCAGTATTAAGTTGTGGTAAAATAGGAGGAAACTGAAATTTTGTAATATTATCAGGATATATTAATATCTACTGTGATGGATTTCACACGATGGACGAATAAGTTATTAGAAAACAAATAAAATAACATCTGGATCAAATTCTTGAAATTCAATGCTACTACTACTACTACTACTACTACTACTGCTACTAATAACAATGATAATAATAATAATAATAATAATAATAAATTCAAATATAAAAAATATAGATGTTCCTGTACATATAATTTATTAGCAAATAATTATGAACCATATTATGAATGAAATAAAAATGAAAATTTCCGTATATTTTGGGCTTCAGTAGTACAATAAGTTTCACGATTCGCAAAATTTCTTGGTGTTACTAAGTACAGTTTTCAGTGTGGTGGCGAAGAGAAGGCTGTTTTCCAGAATACTTCAACCTGAGCCACTTGAACTCAATCCATTGCCCCGCACCCTATCTTCCTAGAAACGGTTTTATTATTATCTCCTCGTAAGTGGTACATGTCCACCAATGTTAAAAGTCCTGCTATATCGCCTTGAAAATATTACATAGAGATTATTAGGTCACAGATGCCCCATAATAAAAGATATTTCAATGTCGATAACAGGAACTGAATATAGAAATTGGAGCTTATTTGTAGGCCAGTAGGCCCCAAAAATGGGCCCTTAAAAATACATATTCAAGTTTAACGAAAATCGTGATCTCCTATAAAAAGTAAAAGGTAAAAAGTAAAGCTATCCTTGTATCAGGCCGTGAAAGCCCATAGGGTTGTGAGACGTTGAGGGTCCAACGTTATCTAGACAATCGGCTCAAAGATGGCGGTAAGGTTGTCAGCCTTACGCGCCGGCCGCGCTTTACTCCCCAGGAAAATTATTTATTTAATTCCTGGTACTCATTTCTGTTAGAGGCTGAGTCGACCCAGGGCCAGAGTGCTGCCGGAAGGATTAGGTCAATTGAAAAAATCCAATGACCTCATCGGGACTTGAACCCGCGACCTTCCGGCTTGCAGCAAAATTGAAAAGTTGTCACATAATTCCAAAAAAAAAAAAAAGGTCTTTACGTTTTCCTTTTCCATACTTCAGCAACCTCGTCCCTTAAATTTTTATCTTGAAGTTTTTCCTGACATAACGTTGGAAGTTAAAGCACTCTTGAGTTCAACGGTGCCATACATTTTCTGAAACTAATTCGCCCTTAAGTTCCTCACGAATATAATTTTGATTCAATAACATCGTTCCCAAAGGTTTTAACTTAGCCAGATGTTTAAGGGATTTGGTAGGGAACGTTACCACAATAATTTTACATAACCAAAGAACTCTTTTATTGAAAACTATCTAAAATGCATATCAGACAGATATTGGGATACAGTAGTAACACAGGTCTAAGACCCCACATAAATCTTGGCTGCGCTAATTAGCCTGATATGAAATATGAGGGTGTGATAAGTGATAACAAATAAAAAACTAAATAAACTTAAACGAACTAACCTTATAATGCTGCATCTTTTCGTTCAGTCTTGCTGTTGTTATCTTCTGTTTCACATAACAATACATAAACATGAATATATCACTAGTATATATAAGCACAGAGCACTTATTATCCTGCAGTTTGTCACTTTTACGACATTTGACTGTTCTGGTCCTATTGAACTATTGAAACCCGCCAATTGCGTTAGAAAGTGAGAATCACATGCGGTGCGGACTTCATGCCATCTTGCGGTATTACTTACAACTCGGTTGTAAACAAATGAGTGCAGGTTCCTTTTCCGCGCTTGATTTAAATTTTTAACGATTAGACGCATTGATGTCTGTCTACGTTAAATTATAGAATAATGTCAAAATTTTTGGTTTAAAAAATTTTTTAAGAAATAAATATGAATTCTTCAAAACAAACTTTGTCAAATTTGTAAAAAAGTAGCCGATGGCATCTTGTCGAGATCCGTAATTTGACACATTTTTCGTTTGTTTGTACTACCAGTCAATAAGTTCGTGGAATGGCCGCAAAGCGTCGTACGGGAATTTCCTGCCAATATGTTTCAGCAATGTTTCCGACAGCTATATCAACGTTGGCAGACTTGCATAGCAGCCAATGGAAATTATTTTGAGGGCCGATGTGGTCTGCGTAAGTTGTAATATGATGCGATAAAACCACATTCCAGCCGGTCACGGTAGCCGAGCGGTCTAAGGCATGTACTGTCTTCGCTCGCTTGGAAACCGGGATTGTGGTTTCGAATCCCACTCAGGGCATGGATGTTTAGTTTGTGTGTGTCCGTTTTTCTGTGTTTGTGTACAGGTAGAGGCCTTGAGACGAGCTGATCACCCGCCCAAGGAGTCCTACCGAATGTGTAAGATCAAGAAAAACCGAAGTGAACGGAGAAGTTCATGGAGGTAGGCCTAGACCCACTGGGGCTGTAGTGCCAAGGGGGGGGGGGGAAACACATTCCACGAACTTAATGACTACCCCGTCTGTTCAAGCATCTGCTGCAATTTGCAGACCACCTCAAACCTGTACTGGGTCCCTCAGTTCTAGCATGTGTTCTCGACTGAATACTTTGTCAGAGGCAGATATTTTTTGGGGTTCATGATTCAACACAAAAGGAAGGTGTGTCTATAGGATAGCCTTCATTGAAATATGATTCCCTATAAGAATTATTAGTAACTATCGCCTCCATAAACTTGGCTGTGTATTTCTATACATATCTTTATGTTCTTGCCCTCATTAAGAGATCGGCGGACAGGAAAATATGACCTTGAAATAATTTTCAGTTTGGATTTGAGGTTCTCACAGCGGTGACTATGAAGAGCTCTGGGGGGGCGCCATAGCTCAACGGTTAGTCGCTGGCTTTCCACCATGGCGGCCCGGGTTCGATCCCGGGTCTGGTCAAGTGGGAGTTGTGGTGGACAAAGTGGCGCTGGGGCACGTTTACTCCGAATATTTTGGTTTCCCCTGCCAATCTTCATTCCTCCAACTGCTCCACAATCACCCTCACCTATCATCTGGGGCTGGTACAATAGGCCAGAAGTGGCCGCAGTACAAAGGACTTAGTCCCACCTCACTAGCAATAAAAAATATAAAGCTGAGTTGTCTGGTGGAAGTGCACCGGCATTTTCAGGGCCGATTGACAAGACAAGCAATAAACTACCAAGCAGTTTGGTTGACTTGCCAAACAGATTTCTTCACTCTTTTATTTCTTTTCCGTTTCCTAGAAACAAGCGAATGAGCCTAGCTTGAATCATTTATCTTCAAAAAATATTGTCCACTGCAATGAATTATGTATGAACCCCGCACCATAGTCGGGAAAGAATGTACTACTTTAACTACACTGTAAACCTCTTACAGTAAAATTATTTCAGAGGAATTAAAATATTTCAGTAAAACGCCATATTAGATTCTTCCTTGCAAAATGAAGAGTTGTTCGACTGATCAATAAGTTTCATGCATTTATGCAACCCATAGCTGTGTTGATAAAAGCAGGACATTGTGTGTTATTCTGAGGAAACTTAATTCAGTCATGGATAAAAGGCAAAAAGACGTAAATCTGTGTCTTCTGTGAGTGACTATATATCCTTTAATAAAACACTACGGGTATAAGAACATGTATAACATTTCAGTATTGAATTTTAACATATAATTAAATTCTATCGCATTCAGCACTTAACGAACACAGCATCCTGCCACGTACTACATACACAAATGCCCAAACAACAATACATAGAATCATCACAGTCCTTCGGTTCCTGATACGACACAAAAACTCTACACATACACACTTCAACAGAACAATAGTCTAATAGGACGTTGTAAAGTGTTATGAATGCTACATATCCTGAGATGAGTAAAACGACTTTTGATTCAATCGTCGTGGCCACTAGCTGTACGCGAGACAGCACTATCAACAATTGCATGTAAAAAGGATCAATGACATTATTATATGAAATTTGTTACCAGACAAGGTATGAAGTCTTTAGGTGTAAATAGGAAACGGAGGAAAAGGGCTCTGAATATTTTCTACATCAACCTGACGAGGAAAATATTTCTATCGGTGAATCATGCTGTTCACCCAAAGTGACTGTATTAGATTGGAATTGTGTATATTGGCGATTCAGTAATAATAATACAAGATTGTTTGAAAATTTCATGTGTTAATTCTGCTATGCACTACATGGTACGGGCACGCAGTAGCGTAGTTGGTCCAGGCACTATGCTATAGGCCGAAAAGTCGCGAGTTCGAGTCCCGGTGTGATGGATTTTTCGATTTGCCTAATCCTCCCAGCCGCACTATGGTCCTCGGATCGACTCAGCCTCTAACAGAAATGAGTACCAGGAATCTTCCTGGGGTGTAAAGGGCAGCCGGTGTGTACGGTTGATCTCACCGCCATATGTGAGCCGATTGTCTAGAGAAAATATGGGAAGCTCGATGTCTCACAATCATATGTACCTTCACGGCCTGTTACAGGGATAGTTTTACCTGTTACTACATGCTAGGTGTACTTTATCCTTCTGGAACTACCGGAAATACAGCAACTCACTCTTAACATCAACCGCGGTGCTGAAAAAACAAGTTACACGTCACCGCAGCGGCATAAGCCCTTATGAATATAAAAAGATTCTGCAAATTAAAAATAAGTATTTACTCAGGTGTATTTTAAGAAGCTTAACTTTGGAGACGAATGCATCCGTCCGTAAATAACAATAATCTTTTTGGCTGTGAAAGGATATTTAATCGAATACAAGATCTAAGTTATGCTAACTTAATTCTTAATTTGCACACAATTATATCTATATAATCTGACATTATCCGAAATAACATCCAGTCCTTTAGGACGCTATTACAATCCAAAAGCTCATATTGAGTGATTCATTTTCCTGAGTAGCACATCGCAACATACAAAATATTAGTATCACAAATTCAACAAGAGTGATTACCAAGTATAAAATATTCTACAATTCAAAACATGACAGTAATCTTGCAGATGAATCATATCATTAATAAACCCCATAGGCCTAACTCATTACTGTCACATTTTTAGTCGGAAATTTCAACATACAAGGGCATAACTTGATAATTTTTTATAGAATCCTTCGAGCGAGATGGGACCTGTGCGTCGTGGACAGCAGCTATGGGAATTGCACCAAAGAGAACAGCCTTCTGTGACACCGATAAATCATCTTTGACAGTTACTGCATCCTTATTTTCTTCATAGTTTTTTGTTCCTTCCTCCGTAGTCCTAACTTGGACATACAAAGGGAAAGGATAACTAAAACTATAAAAAAATCCACCGGGTACATGAAATTGTGCCATTCCTTCCGTAACTCCAGTCGGTTCCTCTGCAGACTTCACCTGCAAGGTTTTGGCAGCTCTAAGATTATTTCCAGATGTATCTGGGGTGATACTGGGGTTGTCCACAATAACAGCCTCTCTATTAGCATCATGAACATGTGTGGGATCAAAGAGGTTCTGAGGAAACATATGAAGATTAGGGTATCGTGTCAATTCATTCAAATCGTCGTCGGCAACAGTGCCAGGATCGTCACTTTCGACAACCACTCCCTCGTGTTCGAGTTCCTGCTCTGAATGTGTTTGCTGAGGTTTCTGGCTCTTGCTTGGATCCGTTTCATCCGTTGAAGCGACAGCAGCTGCAAGTGCTTGTTGGAAAAGCTGAAAATGCTGCTCCTTTGCTGCTGTCACTTCGGGAGTGTCTTGAATCGGTTGGGGCACTTCTGAGTACAGGCCAGGGAGATTGTTTCCTGTTGCATGGAAACCCGTACCATCGTCCCAGTAATGCACCTAAAATCATTAGAGTAAAACTACAGTTCGGACCACATATCTGGCTCATATTCTGAAACAATAATATGACTGAGGCGCAGATTTAGCCCTCTGTAGCAACAAATTCAGAGTTCGGTCCTGCAAATCACTTGGTTGGATGAGAGGAATACAATGATTAATATTCATTTCGGTGGGGCTGGAAACTTACAAAACGGCCGTTTCAAAATCAATGGAGATGTTGAGACATTAAGATCAAGATTTATGATAATGAGACATGTTACGAAGAGGGAAGCTGGTATAACTGGTTTTGGGAAAATTGGCCTAATGTTGTTGAGAGGCTGACTCTTACCTTTATCGCGTGTCCCCACGCATCCAAATAGCTGTAGGAGCCTCTAACAGTGCCGTCCTCACTTCGAGACTCTATTCGAGCCTGAACAGGTGTCGTGTAGCCGAAAAGGGCTCGGCCCTTGCCGTCCTGCGAGTGGAACTGTGAAGTTTCCCCTTCGATTAACTCCTCGTTCCCTAGATGCTGTTTCGTGTGAACATCAGAGGACTTCTCACCTGCAGCTCTCATGTAGCTGCTAGCGGCTTGATATGACGGTATTATCCCCACGTTGTTAGGAGTTAGGTAAAACAGTTGAAGGGGATGCGGAAGTTGGTCAGCCAAAATACCGGATGCGCAACATATTAAGCTGACCTGTGAGGTTGAAATGATGACAAACTATTTTAGAAATCATAAAGAAAAGAGAAACTGAGTGGGAATGTGAAACAAAAGGAGAAATAAATATCCCATTCCATTTTTCTGAACCTTGTAATTCGATGAGGAAAACGTCAGTTGCGTTTAAGCACCTGGACTCATGCAGTTAACACAATGTCTGATAATTTGATAACTTTGAATGAAAAGAGAAAAGACAAAGGAAAATAAAGAGAGGAAGATGTATTCTGTTTCTTTCTTCTGAACCACGGAGTTTGTTAGGGAAAACACCGGTTCCCTTGTCAGACTCTTTCAGTTCACAGTATGGTTGATACTGAATGCCATGTGCTGCCATCAACGCGAAGAAAAGTAGGTGCTTTCTATTTCGTAACGACAATAAACATAGAGACAAGCACATGAAAGTAGAGAAGTTATCCAATTATAAAATCACTTCAGACAGACATTCACGTTGAGAGGTAGTTATGGCGCGAGGCATTATGAAGGCTATCAGAACATTTCTTGTACAAATGTGCAAACGTGACATCTAGATGGATCAAGCTGAAAACTTGTTCCTAGGTTGGCAATGGCAGTGACCTCATGAGATTGAAAGTCAAGCTGAAGGTCAAGACTAACCTGCAGTCACCGCCCAGCGTGACTGGATATAAGCACATTTAAAGGGAATAATTGTTTAACATGTTGCATACCAGAGCCCTACAAAGGCACAGAATGTCCAGTACTTTAAATATCGTTTCTGAAAGCATATTAGAATATCTTTTCTCCTGTAGTTCAATTGACGTCTCTCTTAAAATTTAATAGTCGAGCAGACAACGTAGGGGAGGGTTAAGGATCAGAAAATGCGATGAGAACAATATACCAGAGGGTTAGAAGGAAAAGGACATAACTCCAAATTAACATAATAAAATAAAGGAATTCGTCCATGCGCAGAAGCATAATGTAAGAAGATAAGGGGCGCGGAGGTAGAGCTCCTTGCATTCTTAACCTCTGAAATAGAGGGAGGTAAGTGCGTATGTGTCAACATATTTATTATCTTTGTTTGTCAGTCTACCTGCGTGTCTACTCATTCATCCATCCATGTATCTAGAACTCCTTCTTCGTATAGGATACGCCTCGGGATCTATTCCTGACCGCAGACCAACGGATGCAAGAAGTCACAGACGACAACTGAAGAGACAGATTTTCACTTGAGTCCCAAACTGGCCAAAAAACTGCTCAACTGCTTTAGAATTTGATGATGAGAATGATTGTATGATTACTGAATAATTCCATAATATTTTCCAATTGCATGAATTGCGTAGCACCGCGTTTTGGGGTGATTTTGAATGATGAAATGGAAAAGATGTGGAAGGAAACGCAGTTATCTGTTTTAAGGCATCGATGCAAGATCTTCTGGAGTAATTCTGGTAAATATAGCCGTGTGGAGGCGGGTTAGAATAACCCCACCGTAGCTCTGCGGGTCGTAGAAGGCGCAGGAAAGCGAACCTCGTGCCTGGGAGCATAACTGGGCAGCTCTGCCACTGGGGACATAAACAGAGAGACCTAGTCTCCAGGTTGCAGGATGCCCGCAAGACTGGCGACCTTTAACTGTAAGAGAATTTTTTTTTTGCGAAACTCAAAGAAGTAAAACTGCATGCAAACTGGTAGAATCTTCTAAGGAATGCTATGGCCCCAAAATGGCTGATTTTTCGATGATGATGTTAATGACGAATTTTGGTAAATCAAAAATAAAATCTCAGTCAAAATAATAGAAATGAACAACATCTAAAGAAACTTCTAGCATTGCATGTAGTGCTGGTTCAGAACGGTGACAGGCGAGTTAAACCACTGTTTACCTCAGCCGTTATTATAACAGCAGACCTAAGGTACGGTAGAGGAGAGAGTATGGTGTAAAAACTGACACCTTCTAATTGACGGGATGCGAGCGCAAAACAGGTTTCATAGAAGGGGTAATTTAACTTGCCAGCATGTAAACGAATCAATAAAATCCGCTTCATCATCATCATCATCTCAAACTGCCACATTATATATAATTACCGTAATAGGACCTAAGTCTATCTGTAACAAAACTTCAGCTTGGTCACGGGGAACAGACACACGGCGTCTCAATTTAAATATCGGCCTGCCACCGTGGAGGTCACACCTATTATACGCATCCAGCTCGTTAAGTTCTTCCTTGGGAGTTCCCTTCCTACTTCCAGGATCTGTGACCCGATTCATATGGTCAAAAAACTGGAACAAGCTCGCTCAATGGTCTAGATGTATGATTCCTGCTCTGGGTGCAGAAGGTCCTGGGTTAAAATCCCGACTGAGCCCGTCAACATTTTGAGAGTGAGTACATGTGAACACGGCAACGAACGTTGTACAAAAGTAATTACGTCCATGTAGTACAAAGAATTCATATAGGATCTGAGTGTGAATGCCAAAAGGAAAATGCATTAGGAAGATCTAGACGTAAGTGGGAGTATAATATTAAAATGGGCCTTAGAGACGTAGAATGGGGTGACATGGACTGCATTGATCGGGCTTGGAGTAGGAACCAGTGGAGGGCTTTTATGAATATTGTAATGAACTTTCGGATTCCGTAAAATATTGGAAAATTCTTGAGTAATTTTACAACTGACGGCGTCTCAAGAAGGGCTCAGTGCCATACAAATAGTTGGTTAATTAGTTAGTCACTCAGTCAGTTAAGAGTTGAACAATTCTGTAGAATTACAGTTTGGTATGGGGTAATGTGAGTTTCCTTAGAAGATTCTGTCAAATTTGCCTTGAATTAGACTATCCCGGTTTCATCTCCTTGAATTTCGCAACAGTATTTATTTTACAAAAGATAAAACAACTCCGTCCAGTGTAACTGTTGAAGTTTTTTCTACTTCAATTCTTAACACCCTTACATGTTCCGGTCTCTATAGACCAACATAAGAGGGATATCAATACTCTTTGGATACCGCTATTACAGTAGGTGTTCTGAGTGTTAAAACAACACAACACGCCATGAACAAACACAGGCCGATATCAAAGAACCTCCTTCTCAAGAAAGACAGGCGGCACACGTTAGGCCCCCGTCAAGAAAGGCGATAAGAGAAGGGACACGAACCTATTTGGTTTATAAATTTTAATTTAAATAACAAAAGTTCTAAAAAACTTTAATATACCAAGACAACCGCTGTAGTTGTGAAAACTTTGGACTTTGTATATGTTGTGCAGTACAAACTTTGTGTGTATATATTTTAACATTCAGAACACCCACTGTAATAGCGGTTTCCAAAGAGCATCGATGTCCCTCTGATGATGGGCTTTAGGGCCCGAAACATGTAAGGGTGTTAAGAAGTGAAGTAGTAAAAACTTCAACAGTCACACTGGACGGAGTTGTTTTATCTTTTATAATATTGTTAGTGTGACGGACTGAATGAAACAAATCAGTATTTATTTTACAGAGCAAGATCTTCAACCTTGCGTTTAACCCTCAAATTGGAAGGCCAGATCTCTGTGCTTATATTCCAGGCAGTGGCCTGGCAGGATGGCCCAGTTATGTCCCCGGGCAATAGTTCCATTTTCGTCACCTTCTACGTCTTTCAGGGTTAGGATGGAGGCACGTTAACCTGCCTCCACACGGGGCGTTATTAAAATAGCTTAATCGAATAACCCAGAAATTACTTATTCATAACCTATGCAAGTGACACAGCGTCGTTAAATAATGAAACAATCAATCATAATCTTTATTGTTGAAATAGCGTCGTCCAATAAATTGAGTGTCAATCATAATATTTTTATAATAATCTTAATTTAATAGGCAATGTCATCTCTTCCTTCTTTGCCTTCCAAATAAACATTCACTATCACACTTTCATCCTATCTGCATTATACAGTATATATATATATGGCATATTGTACGGTGCTGTCAGAATATACAAAAAACAAAACAAACTCCGTGGCCTGTAGTCCGCAAGACAACTATACTGCCCGAGTGACCGCCGTTTGTCAGCGAAATTAGTGCGAACTTTAGCGGATAGACGGTGTCGCGTGGTCAGCGCAACGAATCCCCACAGCCGTTGATCTCGATTTTCTAGACCGGAGCCGCTATTTCCTTGAAATAGCTCCTCAATTATCCGCATGAGGCTGAGTGGACCCCGTTCCAGACTCATAACTTCTCAGAAAATCTGGTAGCGCCGGGACTCGAACCTGGGACCTCTGGATCTGTAGTCAGGAACTCTGACCACTAGACCACAGAGGCGGTCGTCAGAATATACAGCATTAGTAAAAACTGAATGGGAAAGGGCGTGGAAGGAAACGGTCATGGCCTATTTTGACCTATTACACAGGTATCTTTTCTGGAGGGAGATATGAAGCCTGGACTTTCCGGGCGCGAATTGGAGTGGTACTCAATTGACCACTATGTTCAGCACGTGTTATCACACTGACTGCTTTGTCTTCTCACGTTACATAGACAATTGTGAAAGAAATTAACAAAATTCAATATAAATACCTACAAATAATATTTCCGTCTGGGTTTCCTGCATCTTTCCCCCAACAGCTAATTCTTTCGACTCCTATCTGATGACATTTCGGGGACGTCAAACTACGTAATGTAATTTAATGTGCAGACATCTTGCAGGCCTCAAAATATGCTAAATGTTTAAACAAATACGAAACAAACAGAATATTATAGACAAACTTACCACTTTGAAGCAGTTCATGTCGTGTTTTCGTAGCAATGACAGTAAGCATACACTATCCTCGAAGCCGGGACAATACAGTGGGAGACCCTGCAGATGCTGCCACCACAGCCAGGCAACCAACAATATCTTTCTGAAAACTCCGACCACGTTCAGGCGAAATTTTGCAGCGATTTTCCTTCCTCTTTTATTTCGATATGATCTTTTTCTTCTAGGGAGCCGAGGCCAAGCAAGTGGTTTGTAGCTAGCTACAAGCAGGTGGAAATATTGACCAACCACAGATCAGCTGGGACCGCACACTGTTAATTCTTATTGGAAGACGACAAATGAATAACACTTCCAATTCGGTATGCTTTGCAAGCCTGTCAACTGCTAATTAGAGTGCGGATTTTCATAGGAAGCCTTGTGAGACAAAGATAATTAATTTAAGAGTCTGACATTGATTTATGTTCCTGTGTGTTACTAACAATGGGCTAGTGGCTTTGATTTATATAGAAACATATGAGACAACAAGAAACGTCCAGTTTTATTTGTCTGTCCATACATTAGAAAACCAGGCATAATGCCAGTATAGTAACCGTTTGCGTACATCTTCCCCTACATAATACTAGAAAAAAGAACCTTCCAGACTTATTTATATTTCCACATCTCAGTCGATTAAAGCTCATTGTATAATTACCGATATACTAACTGCCTGTATTCATAATGACAGAAAGTGAAACTTCGTGTTTTACATGTCTGTTTGCTGCTTGAGCACGGAAGCCGAAGAGTCTCTATTGTTAGAAACCGCTACCAAACAACGAATACTTGAAGACACAGCAGACTATGAAGACTTGGAGTGTGGTGTAGTTATTTGTGGAGTTTTTAGATTAGTGAAAATACTAAAACTATTTACATTCAATAAATTAATGATCAATCCAAACACTGGGACTAATCACTAATGCTTCACAATATTGCTGTCTGCTTCAGATGAATATCTAGTACAAGACTACACGATAACATGATTTGATGAGCAGTAAGAAAAGCAGCGTATGCAACAATTTTACCTTCAAGATCGTTAGCCCTGATTCACTGATAGGCTTACAACAAACAAGAGTCTATCTGCACCCAACAAGTGTTCAGGGATAGACCTGAACGAAGTATGGTACAAAGTCTGATGTCCATACAGGAGTACAAAACCAACAAATGTGGACTCACCTAGAACGTTTTCAATGATACAATGAATAAGGCTGGACATAATCCGGCAATTGCCATGCAATTGTCAATCACGCCAATCCTTCTCTGTGGGAGCACTCTTCCTATATTCGTGTGTGTATTGTGCTTTGTGTTGTCACAAGTCACAAGAGAAAGACACAACACAGAGCACAATACACACACGAATGTAGGAAGAGTGCTCCCACAGAGAAGGATTGGCGTGACTCGCGTATTTGAGATACGACGTATGGATGACGAATCCTGAAAGATTTTAACATTTAGAATTTATTGTTGTACATGACGAATACACATTTTAGTCATATTAGAATGAAGACGTCATGGCATGCAGTGCAGTAGTTTGACGTGCATAGAGACACACCTGAAGATGGCACATTAGTAGTAATGTAGTGTAAAAGTGAAGAGAAAGGTGAAATTATGTGCACTCTAAGACGGTTAGCAGGATACACATCATTGCATTTTCTTTGTGTGTATTTTGCTATTTTTTTATTCTTCTTCTTTACTCATGCGCATTTTATAACTGGCTTCTGAGCTGATAATTTTGCACGTAAATGAAGAGGAATTGAACCGAATTATTATTATTATTATTATTATTATTATTATTATTAGTAGTAGTAGTAGTAGTAGTAGTAGTAGTAGTAGTAGCAGCAGCAGTAGGAGTAGTACCGTGTAGCCATTTAAATTTTAAAGGAAGATCAAAGAATTCAAGATCTATATTTACAATCATACGTTACATTTTATTAATATCATTTACCAGTAAAAACATTAAAATTTATAATGTAACTAATTCAATCGCCAAGTCTTTCTTCAGAAGCCGACGGTCCATCAGACAATTAGGAAATTTCCTGCCTTTAATGAAACTCTAATATTCTTACCGTGTTTACTAAGAGCCATCCGCTGGTACCTACCCTGATCACAAAGACAGAGATACCAGTGTAGGGCCCTTTAAAACTCGATAATAAAACTTCTGGATCACTAAACGCTTCGGAATTTCTTCATTACCTGAAGGACTATAAGGTAAGTCCCTGTGCCTAACTTATTAAGCACTACGCCATGAAGACGTATGGGGGAATGGATGTATAGACCCATATTTTCTTGACCTCGGCACTAGTTGGAAGTAAGTGGTCAGCTTCACCAACCGGCCGCTTTACCCCCGCGGAAAGAGCTCTCGGTGTCCATTGTGTAGGAGGCTGGGTGGACCCCAGAGCCAGCCTGGACCAAATGGAGAATAGAAAATTCTTGACCCTACCAGAACTCGAACTCCGACTCCTAGGCCGTCCAGCCCGTAGCCAGTCGCTGTACAGACTGAGCTATCCCGGTTCCTGAAGGACTGAAGCTTTTCAAGAAAGGCGCTACTTCTTGGAGTCACAGTGGCTCAGGTGCTATAATGCCGATGAGATGTGAACGTGATATCATAAGTGGTAAGCAGGTAAGCAGGTAAGGTCACGGAATGGGACGATATTGGCCTAATTTGTATTATCTCGAAACGCATCTGGATAGACCGAGGAAAAACACGAAAATCGCAAAGATGTCCGGTCGCATGGGCGAATTTCGAAACGGATACTTCCCGAAAGCAGCTGTAGAAAATGAGTTCAGTGCAGTGCAACAGAAATATTAACCAGCTCAGAATTTTTCACCGAAAGGAATATAGTCATTCAGCTGACCAACAGATCACATGTGCTGAGAGTTCCAAGTGTTAATACCTTTAAACCAACTCCAGACAGCCGACCCACTTCAGTCGAGTTCACAATGACAGGATAACACCATCTTCCCATTTTCGCCTCAGTCTCTCAACTACAACGCGCTCTTAAAACAACTTATAATGGTAATAAAATATTTAATAATTTCTTATTAACGCAGTAGCCTAGTTGGTTGAGGCACTATGCTACAAGCCGGAAGGTCGCGGATTCGAATCCCTATGAGGTAATTTAATTTTTCAATTGATCTAACCTTTCCAGCTGCACTATGGCCCTGGGGTCGGCTCAGTCTCTAACAGAAATGAGTGCCAGGAATCTTTCTGGGGGTAAAGGGCAACCAGCGCTAAGGCTGACAACCTCACCACCATATGTGAGCCAATTGTCTAGAAAATTTGGAGCCTCGATCTCTCAAAGCTCCATGGGCCTTCACGGTCTGTTACAGGGATAGCTTTATCTTTAAACGTTTTTACCTTATTAACTATGTGTTTCGACCGTCCAGTGGTCATCATCAGATGAAACATACATACACTAATGAAAAACGTTAGTATTTTACCTGATTATGATTACGAGTGCCAACTTTATCGGATAGAGGGTGTCGCGTGGTCAGCAGGACGGAACCACATGACCGTTAATCTCGGCTTCCTAAACCGGAACCGCTGTTTCCTTTAAATAATTCCTCAATTATCCTCACGAGGGTGAGTGGACCCCGTTCCAGACCCACTACTTCTCAAAAAATCTGGTAGCGCTGGGAATCGAACCAGTGACCTCTGGATCTGTACCTGGGAACTCTAACCACTAGACCCCAAAGGCGGTCAGGGGAAATAAGCAGCGGTCGCTCGGTCGGTATAGTTCACTTAGGGACTGCAGGCCACGGAGTTTTTTTGATGACTACGAGAGTGTCGAAACTTGTAGTGAATGAGAAATAATTAAACTGAATTTTAAATATGAGTTCGTACCGACACTGCTTATTTACAGCTTTTATAAAACGCAAAAGGAATGCATACATATAAAACAAGAAGCTATGGGAAGAACTAATCTCTTACTTTCCATTGATACGACACGGACCGCATACAAACGATGCGTCCAACAATTTTCTATTGTTGCGTGCATATTCGTTGCCGCCGTAAGACTTTTACCGACCGTTACCTAGTAGAGATAAGGGAAGTCACATGGACAACACAGACTGATGGGAGGGATTTATACTGAGCGCCGTTGAGATGGGCTCAGGTGTCATGATATACATACCAAGTTTCATAAGGACTGGTTTATGCATTCAAAAGCTGATGGGGGGGGGGACATATAGACACGCAGGCAGGATGGAGATCGCATAACCCTACTTTTATTTCTTGAAAATATTTTTTTATTGCTAGTGGGGTGGGACCAAGTCACTTGTACTGCGGCCATTTCTGACCTATTGTACCAGCCCCAGATGATAGTTGAGGATGATTGTGGAGCAATTGGTGGAATGAAGATTGGCAGGGGAAACCGAAGTACTCTGAGAAAACCTGCCCCAGCGCCACTTTGTCCACCACAAATCCCACTTGAGCAGACCCGAGATCGGGAAGGCAGCGACTAACCGCTTGAGCTACGGCGCGGCCCTTCTTGAAAATACAGAAAATAAACTAAAAAGTCTCTAGTGCTATCTTGCAATGGAATTTCCTTATAAATATTTTATATGTATTTCTTGCTTTATGTATGTCTTTTTCATCTCATCATTATTCCCATAACCCTAATCATTTATGAATATTTCAACAATTAGTCTTCAAAGAAATANACGGTCTTTTCAAACAATAAACAATGCTTTTGATTGTATAGATAAACAATTTAGAAGTGTAAGTTTTGAGGTTTTCTTCTTGGATCTGGCGCCGTGTATTCTTGGTTTTAACCGACGTTTCGGAGGAACATATCGCCTCCATCTTCAGGGTAGTTGAGTTGCGTGCGAATATAGATAGCTCTAGCTGCAGTTACAGCTATCTCTATTCGCACGCAACTCAACTACCCTGAAGATGGAGGCGATATATTCCTCCGAAACGTCGGTTAAAACCAAGAATACACGGCGCCAGATCCAAGAAGAAAACCTCAAAACTTACACTTCTAAATTGTTTATCTATACAATCAAAAGCATTGTTTATTGTTTGAAAAGACCGTTATTCAATAAAGTAAACAATCCTTAAATGGACTGCAGTATATTTATTCTTCAATTATAGAACTCAGAAAATCAGTACAGAGACAGGAATCAACAGAGTATGTGGAACTCTCAGAAGAAGGTAAAATAAAAATTACATCACAAACACTCCTACATAAATGACGTTTAAAATATTATATTTCTGCGATGAAGAATTTAACTTTACATATTGTAACCTTCACCTTTGTAACTTGTAACTAAATTACGGTCTTAGAATACAGACCACATCAAGAAACTACCATCGAAAATAATATATTTATGGATATCTAATTGCTATATTCACTACATCACGCATCATGTGAGTAGCTTAGGAAACCAGTTCTGTCGTCAATACAATGCCACGACTAATCCTTGAAATCTCCTTGGTCCCACGAACTCGCGCAGACATGTCACGAAATTGGGTTGCAACTACGTAGCGTATTATCATCCTGGAAAGATCAGGGCGTTGTGAGGGTGAGGCTTTTTGTAGAATAAACCGTGACCAACTTTATTTGATCTGACCAACTATGTTTCGCTGTACGTAACACAAAAATCGCATCCAAATATTAGCCTCTCTATCATAGCTTACAGTTAGCGTAACAGTGGAAACAATAGAAATGTTTCAGTACAGACGAATATAGTTTGGGATTTGAGATATTTCTCGTACATGTCATGTAAGCTTAACATCCTTTTAAAAGATATGTTCGAAACATCCTGACACACGTTGACACACATGCGAATATTCGTTTAAAACCACGCATAGAGTTTTGAAAATTAATATTTATAAGAGTTTCCATAAACTTTCTTTAAACATGCGATTAAATCAATTATCAGCTTCTTTCGTAACGCCTTCTAACAAAAACTTCACTTAGTTAAGTCAGGAATTACATTTCACCATTTCATTGCAGAAATTCTTTCCGTGATCATTATAATTCATCTCTTTATAATAGATGAAAGTCATTAAAACAAACAAAAAACAAACTCTATGTCTTTAGTCCGCAAGCGAATTATACCGACCGACCGACCGCCGCTTGTCGGCGAAGTTAGTGCCAACTTTAGCGGATAGAGGGTGTCGAATCCCCAAGGCCGTTAATTTCGGTTTTCTAGACCGGAGCCGCTACTTTACAGATGAAAGCCATTAACATTTATAAAAGGTCAGAGTTGAGGCAATTTTATAACGACATACTTTATATAATGTCTGCATTCATACAGAAATGTGATGGTCAACATTTGAATAACAACGAAAATGGCAAATATGACTTCAGTCTGTGCGAATCTATATGTGTGTGTGTGTGTGTGTGTGTGTGTGTGTGAGGCGTAGTGACTATGTACTAATGATTAGGCATATTTACAACACCTTACGATTAGATTACCGGATATCTTTTACAAATTGTGAATTTAGTCTCAGAAAATGAATAATTTAAATTTCCTCTCTCCAACTCCTTGATTTGGTACTTGAAATGCCTAAACAGAGATATGTAATTAATTCAAATTTTTTAAAATTAATTGCTACAACTTCGTGTAACTATACTACGCCTGACGACGAAATAAACCCTTTCAATTTTCATTTGACGACATTTCTTACTCGTCAGTGTAGATAAGTGGAGGAAGTCCTAAAGCCGTCGAACTGCGCCAAAGAATTCTGCTGACAATAACAGACACAAATCCAAAGGCCTGTCAATAGATCGCACTTTATGGGAAGGGGAAAGAACTAAGGGCTGGTCGAACAAATAAAATGGGTCAGGGTACGAATGAGTTTAGTAAGTAATGACTGGGACTGGAGGAACCCCGTAGACTCCGGGAGTTTGCGCGAAGTGGCTCGGAACTTGGTGGCCGGACACCCACGAGTGGTCAGCGGAGAAGGTCACCAAGGGCCACGGGTACTGCATGGGACTGCGCAGATGCGTGGTACTGGCTGGAACCTCCTTCATCATTATCGATGAAATGTCACGGCGCTTGCGCATTTCAGGTGCCAGTGCGGCTGCAATTGCCGCCTTCTCATATTCCTTGGCGAAGAGGGCTTTTGCGTTCTTTACCTGGTGTCGAAAGACAAGATTAGTTAGAAATTACATGTCCAACGTTCTGGGTATTTGGAAATATCTTGGACAACAAGAAATTATGGGAAAAGCTTATGTCCTGTCTACTTTCTTTCAAATGTTTTAGTCTATATGGTGAAGCAGCACTAATTAAAACATGATAATTGTACAGTTTAATGACCTACTTCTTCTATTTGTGTATATTATTTTTTAAATTAATTAGATATAACCTCAAATGTCTGCACTTTTACATTGTTTACACTTAATTTATGTCAGAATTTGTAGATAAATTTACGAGTAAAATCTATTCTCATAAAGTTTTTTTTTTGTTATTACTATGAAACTTAAAGCTAAAATTATATTTCGCGCAGCCGCCATATTCGTGTTTTAGATTTACAAGCACAGACATATCTTCACAAAAGGTGTTATGTATTTCGCACAGAATTTTATGTCTGTACGTCAGGCAGTGTTGATGTGGACCGCAGGCCAAAAGATGTCATTGTTTTGAGTTTTGTGTTATTGGTAGTAAAATGTTGCTTCTAGTGGCATGGTGTTCATACCAAGTTATGTGAAAACCGTTCTATTTGCTGAAAGCTTAATTAGAGGACAGTCACAAGGACGTGTCACCACAAGACACTTCTTCTTTACAAAACATAGGAAGTCGGCGAATATGGACCGGCCATTTTGATAATGAAGTCAGGGCGACTTAGAAACATACTCGTATATAGATGTCGTATTCCTCTTAACTAACTTAGTGACTAACTAACTAAATAACTCATACAAAAAAAAAACGTTACTGGATATGAATCCAGGGCCACGTCTATCTACCTGCCATTCTCACAACCTAGTTCCTAAAATCCATATTAATGCTAGCTTATCATTTCCTTATCGGTTTTCCAAGCGAATGTGTTCCCGAAGGTGTCTTCACAAATATAATGTACGTATTTCTTTCCATGTTTCTTATTTCTCTCCTTCACAGTGTCCAGATTAGATCTAGGGCCCACACAGTCTCCGGTCCAATGGGTACCGGAGACTTTTTCTTCAGGGATAAATCGGCCGAGGGGTGAAACTCGCCATTTGCCTGCGCCTAGTGCAAGAGATCAAGAATGGTAGAGCTACACCTCCACTCCCTCACACGTATCGATGGAGCGCTGCTTACTACATGGGCTTTACGTTTTACCTTTATTATTCACTTCAGATTATTTTATTTCTCTATTGCTTATTTAAGATTTCAAATATAAAATTCAAATATAAAACTAAAATCTTAACTTTTGTTTTATATGCGCGTGAAACTTGGTCACTAATTCCAAGGGCGTCTGAGGAAAGAGTACTGAGGGGAATAACTGGATGTAAAGGGGGGGGGGGAGTAACAGGAGCCTGGAGAAATTCGCTTAAGGAGGAGCTTCATATTTGCATTCTACACTAAATATTAACAAAGTAAGTGAATCGTGGATTATGAGATGGGTGGGAAACGTGGTATGAATAGAGACGAGAAGTGAATGCAACATTTCATTCTGAAAATCTGAAGTTAAGAGACCGTTCGGGACCTTAATGAAAGAGCTTGTGAGTGTGTTGACTGGTTGCACTTGGCTTTGGGCAGGTTCCAATGTGGTTTCTAGTGAACAAGGTAATTGACTTTCAGGTTTAATTAAAAGTGGGTAACTTCTCGATTATCTTCGCAACTATCAGCTTCTCGAAAAGGACATGAGGTATTCTTCCCTGTCTCCCGTTCTATCTACGAAGTATCTCCTCAACAGCAACAGTCTTAGAGTACTGGGTAACATGCGGCGTGTAAGCTTGACAAACTCACCGCCATCTGTCAGCAGATTGTCTAGAGAAAATGTGAAAGCCTCGACGTCTCACAACCGTATGGCCCTTCACGGCCTATTACAGGCATAGCTTTATCTTTTACCTACATAATGCTGAGGAAAATGCCGGCAGATTTTTCCCTGGTTATGAGATGCCGACTTGTGAAGTTCATCTCCATGAGGCGCCGAGACTCGCCTCTACACTCCTATATAGATTTTTCACATAAGATCCAGGAGGACTTTAATCTTTGCTTTTTTTTCTATGTGTCACATTACAAACAACAATCCAAAACTCTAGCATGTAGAGTACCTCAGGAGTGTCCTCCACGGGCTGTGGCATTCCCCGGGTGGTGTCCTGCGAAGGGATGGCGACTTGTACGACGTGGGGATATTGATATATGCTGGATACAGGCACTCCGAATAGACCCTTCATGTGCATGGGGTTTTCCACCAGAGACTTGACGAGCACGGTGGAAGGTTCCTTCACGGCCACAACTGGAGCCACGGCGCCAGCTTGTAAGAGAGTTGCACCGTATGGCCAGGCGAGATGCTGGGCCGCCACGTTGGCTGCCACTAGCACCACAAGCAGAGCCACCTGGATAGGCAGAATGTAAAACAATGTATTTCCATCTGTCCACATACTCACTGAACGGATTTCTCTTAAATGTATTACTCGGGGTTTACAATGCAAGATGTTAAGATAATTTTGGTTCGTGTCCATCAATTATAGTCCCCATTTCATACGAAACTCAAACTGAACTTGCAAGATCCCGCGAAAACGCCTCGTCCTCTGTAACCTTACATGGCCAGCAAAGCTAAATAAACTGTAATTTGTTTTTAATATTTTTCGGTGCAGTAACAATTTAAGGAAATACAAGGAAGTCAATTTTCCATTTGTGCGACATCACATACTCTATGATTCGCTTCGAAACATTAATTATGTTGTATTCTGCTTCCTCCATTATACCAGTCTCACCGTTAATTATCTACACAAATCGTAAATTCTTTTTCTCTCTCCTTTTGCTCCCACTGTGGAGCATAGGGCTGATTCCTAAGTTTCATGATCATTTTACAGACGGTAGAATTCCTTGGACGTGTGACCAGCTCGGCGCAAGGCCTCTACTAAAACACAGAACAAAACAAATACAGGATAAACGCATACATATACACACATCAAACATCCATGCTTTGTGTGGGATTCGAACCCACGATCCTGGCTTTCGAGCGAGTGAAGAGAGGACATGCCTTAGACCGCTCGGTCAATACAATCACGAATGAAAGACTCTGCGAAGAAAGCCAGATATTAAGGGCGTGAGCTGATGCCATCCACTGAACTAGAAGATTGTATGCAGCTGGTTGGTTTCCCATTCATATCAGCATCAAAGTCATACACGTGTCTTCGTAATGTAATCACAGTCTGACAACTTCTATAATAATTTTTCTCGGGAAAGAAGACTTAGGAAAGTATTTAGTGCTTCATCAGTGTGCAAGTCTCTTCTCTATAATTTGTGCTACGTTCTGGTGCAGTAGTTCCTACGTCATATGCTCCAAAAGGTGAATACAATGAACGAGTTGTGAGGGTGAAGGTCCGTCTGTCTCTCTGCATGTTTCATCTTCAAGAATTACTGAATGCATTTCTGATCCTTGTTCATCGCTTACTAGAGTTACACCTCTACCCTGAAGATGGAGGCAGTATGCTCCTGTCGAACGTCGGTACACCTCTACTAGACTACGCAACATCACATCCCATTCTAGATAAAAGTGTCTGCCAATACTGACAATCAGTCATCTGAAGATAAAAATAGAACACACAAATAAATCGTTGGTTGTATTTTTGCTCCATTTCGGACGGCACACTCTTAAAAATGAGTAATTTGTTATCTTACGAACCTCAATAGGTTCTATGTTTTATTATTACAGAAAAGCACCAATCTCCGTAGAGCTAATAACATAACACATAATTATACGCTGTTCATCTTCGTACTTCTTAAATGTACACCGTTTCGACAATGTTGCAGATAAAAATTATAAACCTTAAGGAGAAAGTACCAGAATTAGTGAATAGAACCGCATAGTGCAATTTGCAATTTGTACTCTTCGTCTAATATATTAAAATGATTATGTGAAAGAAGATGAACACACGTGGAGGAGACGAGAAATGTAAAAAAAAAAAAATAGAGAAATAATTTTAGAGAGAAAATATGAAGAGAAAAAAAATGCTTCGGAGACCAGGGCGTAGATGGGAGGATAATACCTACCTACCTACCTACCTACCTACCTACCTACCTACCACTTGGCGCTACAGCCTTGGGTGAGCCTTGGCCTCCTCTACAACCAGTCTCCACTGCTCTCTACCCCTCACCTTCTCTAGCCTTCCTCTCAGATGGGATGATAATACCTACCTACCTACCACTCGGCGCTACAGCCCTGAGTGAGCCTTGGTCTCCTCTACAACCAGTCTCCACTGCTCTGTACTCCTCACCTTCTCTAGCCATCCTCTCAGATGGGAGGATATTATTACAGGAAATCATGGGAAGAACCAAGCGCTTGCTTTCCTTTCACTACATACTGAGTACTTGGTACGAAACGGATCTCATAGAAAGCATCGCGTCCAAAAATTATTCTATTGTTGACTGTATCTTTTGCAGCGGGAACGTGTTTACCCAGCCATCGCCTAGCAATGACCCTCTCTTCTGGCTCCATTAATAGGGGTGACACACACACCAACTTGACTTTATAAGCTTCTTTCAGTTTTTTCAAAATACGGAAAGTAGGCTGAAAATGGATCTTATAGACATGTGGTACAAGGAGTAGAACTGGATTCATCTGGCTCAGGATATGGGTCAGTGGCGGGCTCTTGTATACACGATAATGGGTAATCAAATTCAATAAAGACCACGGATGTCTTGTCTGGCTAAGTAACTATCAGCTTTTCAAGAAAGACTCTACTACATACAGTTATTTCTTGGTCTATGTTTCATGTTGTGTAGTACATGTACTCGACCGCCTCTGTGGTCAAGTGGTCAGCGTTCCTGGCTACAGATCCAGTGGTCCGGGTTCGATTCCCGGCGCTACCAGATTTTCTGAGAAGTAGTGGGTTTGGAACGGGGTCCACTCAGTCTCGTGAGGATAACTGGGGAGATATTTCAAGGAAATAGCGGCTCCAGTCTAGAAAACCGAAATTAACGGCTATGAGGATTCATTGTACTGACCATGCGACAACCTATATCCATTAAAGTTGGCACTAACTTTGCCAACAAGCAGCGGTAGCTTAGTCGGTATAGTCCGCTTGCGGACTAAAGCCATGGATTTTTTAATTCGCTTAGTGGGGGTGGAGAAACCGAAGTACTCGGAGAAAACCCGCCCCAGCGCCACTTTCTCAACCACAAATCCCACTTGACCTGACCCGGGATCGAAACCGGTGGGAAGCCAGCGGCTAACCGCTTGAGCTATGGTGCGACCTCGGAAGCCACGGAGTTAGTTTAGTACATGTACTCTTTCACAAGACGAGATGTTTTAGAAAAGATGGTCTGATTTGGACTTCAAGCAAAGTCTGTATCGTACTGGGAAGGGCTAAATGGAAACTCGCCTGACAACCTTCAGTGCAAACCTTATATACAGAATTTAAATGAAATTCAATTAGTTTCGGAGGCGGAATATGTGACTGATGGACACACTCGTTTATAAATTTTATAGAAGAAAACCCATTCCTCACATATCTCGAACAATGAACAATTTTCCACATAATTATAATGAGTCAACCACTGTTACCTAATTTCTGTCAAAAGAGAGAACTTTCCAAAACTCTTCTCCCTTACTGTACGATTTAAGTTTGTGAAAAAAAACAATGGTAGGCAGTAACCAACACCGTAAACTCACCAAAATGTTCATGACGATTCAGAAGTCTGGCCCAATTCTTCAAACCTTTGTGTTGACGATTTCCAGACGTTCACTGAACTATATATACCAGAAGACTACAGACTTAGGCTGAGACAGGAACGTGCTAAGAATTTCAGACACGCGATGTAAGAACAGTCCCAAGGTAAGCAATTCGGAATGTATTACCACAGAAGCTACCGTACACGTTCTGACATCCTCGTTAGTTATAGATCACAGAGATCCTAAGTCGAAACATGATTGGTTGGGTTCAAATGTAACTTTATTTTCTATTGGATGATAATATTGAAAAATCAGCATTACGCTGGAACAGTTATCGGTATTTGCCTTTATTTCAAAATAGCAACAAAAAACATTAAATTCCCAAGGTCTCTGAATCGAGGTTATGTTATTGGTTGACTATACAGAATAAGGTGCTCTGATTGGGTGAGTTCCCAGGGTGACAAGTGTGCTTGACATCCCTTTCTGCTGTCCTTCAGGGAGACTGTGGTCAGAGGCTGCCCTCGTCTGGCTGGACCAGTTTTCACTTTGTCTCAACAGGCAAGTTCTCTTCCCCCTTGCCCCTTCTTGGTGCCCTCTATGTGACCTACCTCCTATGTCCTAGGTCAGCGTACACATGCTGGGAATTGTAGATTCATACCATTCTAAGGCGAGAAAGCGGTTCTATTTTATGTGTCTGGTTAGTAACTTTTCAAAACCTTTAAGTAAACAGGAGACTATTTGGGCCCTATGCCAGAAGAACGACGAATCTATTGAAATTAAACAGAGATGGGTGGTAGGACCATTTACAGGACACTGTTCCCCAAAAGGACACCTTTTCAAACCGGGACTAACAGATGACCCTACTTGCGAACCGTGCATACTATGTGATTGTGAGGCTGGCCTGAACCAGTTTTTATGGAAGCAAGTGACTGTTATGACGCCCACATAAACAAATTCCTACATTTCATTCGAAGTGTAGGATTGATAAAGGGGAAGTACAATAGATAATTGAAGGTCGCAGTGCAAGAGCCGGAGGGTCCACCCCTGATGCATTCTTTCATTCATTCATTGAAAGAGGGAGTTTGATTGCTGCTCCATATTAACTGATATAATCAGATGAGAGATTTGAGGTTCTTAGGGCGGTGGGAATAAATTTACTGTCTTCTGGCATATGACGTCATGTAGTAAGAAAGACCATTGCCGACGTTTCGGAGGAACACATTGCCTCAACTTTCAGGGTAGAAGGGCTCCCTGAAGATGAGAACAATACTTTCCTCCGGAACTTCGCTGACTACTAAACTACATGGAGTCACATCGTAAAAGACAATAATCTTCGTCGTCAGCGGCCTCCTTAGTCTAGAGGTAACGTTCCCACCTCATGACTCAAGGTACGCGGGTTCAAACCCGGCGGATGTCGTGGAATTTTTAAGGGCGGAAAAATTCAGAGAACAAGTCCTCCGGGAGGGACTTTAAGCCGTGGGTCCCGTGTCATAGCTTTACGGCATGTAAAAGAACCCCATGCCTCAAGGAGGCCTCTGAGCCAAATTATTAAGGACATTTCCCGCCCAACAATAGTCTCTAACGCTTCTGGTAGATGGGGAAAGCATCTAGATACCGCTGAGCCAGTAGAGGCCGAACTCGCTGGCTGAGTCGCGACTGATGGCACGCACCAGTATCGGTAGGGCATAGAGACTGGTAGAATATCATAGGGGGACGTACAATAGACCACTGGTCGCGGTGCATCGGGAAACCCACCCCCTCCAATCATAATAATAATAATAATAATAATAATAATAATAATAATAATAATCTTCATCCTTGATATAGGTTTTAAGCATAATTACGTTTATAGCAGAGCTTTAGTATCTCGTCACTTTCATTTATTTCGTTGTTCTTACTAAAATATTCCTATATTTACCTGTCGAGACAGAACAGAAGAGGGGACATAAACTGAAAATGCAAGTACATAAACTACTGATCAAGACAGCCCAGAGTGAAACAAACGCACACAGGGGATTCAGCCTTTTTTCTTTTGCGCACACGTCCCATCTATGAAGTTACACAACCGATTTTGAACAAATTTGGTACTGAAAACCTACAATAAATATTACAAGGCGAAATTAATTTTACATATAATAGGTCCAATATACAGACCTGGATGACTAAATTACTGAAGAAAGTAATTATAGGCTCGAGGACCGGGTTTAAATTCCTGACAAGTGCGTAAATTGTTTCTTTCCTCAATTAATTAAATATAAATAATAACACAATTCCAATTCATGTGAAGTTAAAATAAAAATTCGCGGCTCGTCTTTAAATTATTCATATAAACAAATTATTTTTATTTCGGCCGCATTTATAATTTTGTCTCTCCCTCTCTCTCTCTCTCTCTCCTTCCCAGATCTCTCTTGCTTTACGCTTTGTACGTCTTAACTAGTTTAGGAATGTGAGGTCTTGGAAATACTTCTTCCCTTTCTTTCTAGTTTATGCTATTTTACTTCTTTTTGGTTCAACGGAAATTTTATCCAGATCTGTCTCTTGTCTTCGTTTCTTGTCCTGTTGCAACCTTTCACCGATCTAAACATTTCAGCTGTCTGTATTCTCGTCAGTCCATACTCTTTCCCCTCCAAAATGGGGATCCATAACTGTGTACAACTTCGACCATTACTTCTGTTCTAGCCACTTTCTAGGTGTTCTAAGTTAATTTCCATTTAAATAACGCCATGTAGCAGAACGTCTGTTGAGACATTGACAGTAATTCAGAAGGTCAAGAAATTTCCGACCTTTTATGTAACCTAGAGGTTCACAGACATATTTAAGAACCTGCATCTTGGCTGTATCCTCCATTTTCATTCATGTTCGTCCTATATTAAATATGTTGACTGTTGCGTAAGTTTCGCTGGAACCCAATACAACAGAAATGACTTTTTTTCTTTACATCAACACAGCATAAAGATTTAGGCCTACTCCTTTCCACTGCTTCCTATCTCTGCCACAACATTCCGTAACTAATTGGCAGTTCCCAGAAACCAGCAACTTCTATACAACAGTCGAATTTTAATCTCTTCATTTGGCTGGATCTGCCTCCTACGGAACTGTAGGACTTACTGATTTATTCTCAGTGTATTTCCGTTCTCTCTTTCAAGAGGAATTTATATAGGGCTTTCTCTTATGGCAGTGCATTATCAAACAAGTTACGTTAGTAACTGGAATATATAAGAGAGATGGATGAATTATACAGCAAGCTACAATGATAACGTTCTTGATTGAAGAAGGAATTTACTTTTCAGAGCTGGGATATCTCAGTCGGTATAGCGACTGCTTACGGTCTGTATGACCGATGGGCCAGAGTTCGAATCCTGGTAGGATAAATTATTTTCTCTTCTCCACGTCGTCCAGACCTGCTCTGAGGTCCACCAAACCTCCTATCCAATAGGTACAAGGGGCTCTTTCCTCAGATGAAAATCGGCTGGAACGTGAAGCTGACCATTCACCTCCAAATAGTTTCGAGGTTAAGAGAATGTGGATCTATACATACACTCCCCCCATACGCTTTCATGGCGTAGTGCTTATTTAGTTAAGCACACGGACAACTTTACCTTACCTGTCTCATGGTCGCTATAGATCTACTGCACTAATACAAAGGTCGCATAAATATTAGTGGCAACATCTCTATAGTTCTGAAATGACTTTATTATCTGAGGTAAACACACTTACATTCCTTCAATATAATCGCCCCCCCCCATGTGTACCACCTTCTGCCAAATTTGTGGAAGGCGCCGTACACCATCAGTGCGTCCACTTCTGTTGATGTCCAGCAGTGACTCCTCTACAGCACGAATAGTCTCCTCTCTTGTGTTGTAACGTGTCCCTCGCAGTGGCTCTTTAATTTGGCAAAGAGAACATAATCTCACGGACTCATATTGGGTGAGTATGGCGGATGTTGCAGTATCTTCCAACGCCAGCGGCGAAGGAGATCCTTGACAGCGTCAGCAGTATGAGCCCTTGCATTGTCATGAAGGATGATGGGGTTCGTTGCCAAGTGTCTTCGCTTTCTCCTGAGTGCTGCTCGAAGATGTTTACACCCTGTGCTTAACTAATTAAGCATTACATAATGAAAGCGTATGGGGGAGTGAATGTATAGATCCATATTTTCTTGACCTCGGCACCAGCTGGAGATGAATGGTCAGTTTCACACCCCGGCCGCTTTACTCCAGGAGAAGGAGTCTCTGGTACCCATTAGATAGGAGGCTTAATGGGCCCCAGAGTCGGTCTGGACGACTTGAAGAGAAAATTCTTGACCTTACCGGGACTGGAACTCCAAATCCCTCGGTTGTCCAGCCCGTAGCCAGTCGCTATACCGAGTGAGCTATCCCGGCTCCTTGTACCGCCTAAGGAAAAATAATAATTTTTCATGATCATCTCCTAGCCTCTTTCGACCATGTGTAACGTGTACAGTCGAAACTATGTATCAAAGGAAACTTCGCTAGTCATCCGTTTGAATATGTTAGGCCTACACGTCCAGTTATGGTATCATGAAATAATAAAGACATGCCGGGAAGTTATGCACAGCTGTCTAGCAGTTGTGTTGAAGAAGTTGTCGCTGTGGTAGGTATACAAGGGTTGGATAAAATGTAGTGGCAACACTGCTATAACATGAAAGATGTGCGTCAGGTGGCACTAGCGCCGTCTGTAGCTGATAGCAGAAGTTCAGTTGAAGTAGTGCAGTGAGTGGCTCTGGTTGTGTTTCATTGAGTTGCATTGTGCATCGTCTTGAAGTGTAGGAGCCCAGTTCAAGCGCCCTAACAACATGTTTACGAAACAAGAACAGCGCTCCTGGCTAAAAATTGAAGTTGCACGAGGTCGTAGTGCACGAAACTGTTATCAGGGACTGCGAGAAGCATGTGGTGATGCTGCTTTGCCATATCGCACAGTGGCAAGATGGGTGAAATTGTTCCGTGAAGAGAGGAATGCCATTCAGGACAGCAGTCGTTCAGGACGATCCCATGTTGACAGCCACACAATTCAGCTTCTTGCTTCTTTGCTGGATGTCGATCGTCGATGGGCTGCGCGGGAGTTAGCTGCTGAGGTAGGCGTATGTCACAAAACCGTGCTCCACATTCTGCACGATATTCTTGGATACTGCAAATTGCAGCGCGTTGGGTATCCCATACAATGTCCGAGGTGCA